AATTTAAAATTCTTTAATAATTCTATTTATTTTATATTATATAAATTATATTAAAATTAGTATTATTATTCTTACATTAGCTTTATATTCTTATTACACGTATTTCTTTTTTATATAGTTTTTATACTTATCTTTTAAGGCTGTTCAATCCTACTATTTAGACTACAAAAGGCTTCTTTATTTAAGCCTCTTATCAGTCTCTCAATCTGCCCTGCAATGTTGCCAAACGAACTGCGCCTATGATTGGCATGAACGTTATACCCCATATGTTCTTTCCACAATGGATCCTTTCTATCCATGCATTTTCCAAGGTCTTTCCAGGATGTCATTACGACAAAATTGCTATAAGAACTTTCTGATCGAATAATATTTATAGCATAGTCAGTCGAACACCCACCACATGACCATATACGACCGTCTAGGCTACTATCCAATCTTGACCTTGCTAGACAATCAATCCAGCAATCATCTTTGTGAGTCCATAGGCATTGCTGCAGGACTTTGCCCGGGAGGTCAAAATCCTGTATTGACTTCTTACGAAATGACCACTGGCCTCGACGCCACTTGAACTCGTCATCTGGGCGGAAGAGGAAAGGGTATAGGTCAGACCAGTCAGCGTGTTCACAGACTGCCGATAGTTCGGGGCAGTCATGGAGAATCCAGCCTAAACTGCAAGCTCCGTCAAGGATTCCTGACACCTCACGACCGGTGCTTCGTCCAGCAAACAGTGTTCTTTCTGACTTGATCAAGATGTGATCATCTTTTGAGTAATATATATTCTCCTTGAGCCGTATGTGCGGATCCTCCTCATCATTAACATAGAGTGTGATATACTCGATCATGTCCTCTAGGTGGGCTGCAAAGTCTGACTGGTAGGTAGATTTATGTCGGAAACGGCTTAATCTCGATAAAGCTGCCATGATGTCAAAATGAATCCCTTCCGAAAGGAAAGGAGAGAAACTCTGTTTCTCAAGTTTGGGATCTCCGTAATGAACACAGGCTCGTCGTGCCTCCCTGGGAGTGAAATTACGGCTCTTTCGTGGCTCATGAAACTTTTGACAGATTTCGCAAAATATTTCAGAAAGCCACATGCCGTCAAGTTCAAGGCGGCGAAGAAATTCTGAACGATCAAATTGATTCAGCTTCAGAGCATTGCCAATAATGCTGTGTAGCCAGCTGGATGTAAAGGCAAGGCTTGCGCGGTCGACCGGATGTAGCGCTGTCGCTATTTTGATGACGAGTTCTATGGGAAGGGTTTTGAGCCCTATATTCGAAGGCTGTCCAGGGTCGGCGATGCTGTGGAGTGTGAGTTCTATATCATCACCTGCCGATTGAATGTCGTCAGAACCATCAAGTCTCAGCCTCTTGAGGTGCTTTTGGATCTCCATAGTCGGTGCTGAATGAGATGCCATCCATACACTGACGCATGCATTTGGATTTGTGGCTGCCTTTTTGAAGGTGAATATTGTAGAGGGACTGCGAAACGTAGTATGGAGTAGATTTGGGAGGGTGACTTGGTGCACACTGTGTGCAGCTGTCGTTCTTGAAGATTTCTGAGATGTATAAATGAAAAGAGCAAGGAGAGGAGAAGTAGCAGTGGGGGTGATGAAGTACTGGAATCATGTATGATAAGGTTTATTGAGAAAAGTGTATAAAACTAAATGTGGGGATGAAATCGGTCAACATACCATTTTAGTTATTTACATTATTATGTGAGGGTTTGGGGCAAAAGCATATATTTCGGAGAGTAATATCCAGCCACTCATTACTTATAGTCATAGCCCAAAGCTTAACCTTATAGATCCCGCACACTTAATCTACCAAATCAGTATACGGCATGCCTCATTGGACAGCTACAATTAAACTCGTGGACATCGGCTCAGGCCTCAATCAGCCTAGGTACAGGGAAGTCGGCCATGTTAGCGGCCTCAATCACAGCAAATTCTTCGGCTATTGCTTGGACTGACATAACTACTTCTTAACATGAATTAGATTAGCCCCACTGGCACAGCGGCTATGAGCTTTGGAAGGTCTGCTTTTCTATGTGTCGACTTTACGAACCGGAGGATATTCTTCTTTGGACAACTGCAACCTCCTATCAGCGCCTACGGCATGGTATTGGGTGAACAGACGTCTTCGACTGACTCAACTGGTCGTCGATACCTGGTGTCAATCACCACCCCGGATTTGGGTCAGATCTGGACACATATGTGTTTTCCAACTTTGACTTGAGTCTCGCCGGGGCACAGATCTTGTCGTTGGAGGATGCTGTCGCCTCTATTCACTCCGAACTATCTGTGTTTGTAGTTGCTGCACAAGCGGCTGAGGTGACTGTAATGGACGTCTCGACTATGCTGCTCAGCCTGCCGCAGACTACCCCACTACCAAGTGGTGCGGCGATATTTGCTACCCTCAATCTCAAGGGAAAGATTCCCACAAGTAGGGCAATTTCAGTAAGAGTGGAGTCCACGATGCCGCAGCCCACGCTGACCTTCTGTGCCTTGATCCCTCCCGGTGCACCAACCACATCTAACCCGGAAGAGCTTATGGTCTCTATGAAGAGTTTGTATCTCCTTGGAGGCGCTCTTGAGTTCGATGGAACAGCGGCCTACAACATAAGAAACCAGTCGCTCACAGCAAACGGTTCCATGGTACTTACTCTGTCATCCGCAAGCTGTGTTACGCTACAAAATGTCACTCACCATTGGTAACACGGAGACGTCTTCCAAGCTTGAGGGCCAACCATTATCCAGCTACATGCTCACCAACCCATTCGGAGACATGTTCAACGTGCAAATCCAGGATATTGTACTCACGGGGACTACCTCAAAGACTAACGGGCAATCTCAGTCCAGTTACTCGCTGTCAGGCAGCGTCTCCTCCGGTAGCGGAGTCTTCCGTTCTGACCTAACAGAGAGCATCCTTTTTAGGTAAGGCAAACCCGTGACGGCCAGCTTGAAACTGGTTGCCGGACAGGCAGGGATATCCGTGGGAGATGTGTTTGTTAGTATTATTTAGCCGGGTGACTCTAGCAGCGGCTCATGGCCATCAGGCGACGGAACTCTTACCTTTGAATCAGCATGCATCTACTATTCTACCCAGATCTTCACAGGTGGGACACAAACGTATAAGCAGGGCTATCATATCTCATCAGATATTGAAACTTTTGGGGTGCCGTTCTCGATGACCGCCGATCTAGGCAATCGGAGTGGCATCATCATAACGAGCTAGCTAACAAATCTTGTCGACGTGAAGTTCCTTGTTCTGACAGGTGAGGTGACAACCACGACAAGTACGCTCTATTTTTCTCAGTCGTACATAACTCTCGCACGGCTCTACCCCAACATGCTCTACAACATCCTGAGTCCTGAACTCCGCATCAACAGGGAGAAACTCAAAGTTCCACATAAGCAACACCCAGAAGATCCGAAGCTGTAGGTAAGCAAGTCTCCTTCCAAAGCATCCTCGTGGTCCACTGCCAAATGTGAGGAATGGCCCCTTCATGGCGTTATAAGTCTCAACACCCTTGTCGTCAACATCTATCCATCGTTCGGGTACGAATTGCTCGACATCCTCTGCCCGCCACTCTCCATATCGATCTTTTGTACGCTGTGAGCTCTCACTCCGAATAGTCTCCGGGACCTTGATTGCCGGCTTCATCAAGCTGGGTCCGTTTAGTGTAAAGAAGACGGAGGTGCCCTTTGGAATGGCATATCCTAGAATCGTTGTGTCGACCATTGCTTCGCGGCTTACTATTGGGAGTACCGCACTGAGGCGCAGTGTCTCCTCGATGACGGCGTCGAGATATGGAATAGACGAACCGGTTATTTCGTCAATCGTTGGCTGGCGATGTTCCGTAAGAGCGGTCGAGAAGGCATTCTGAAGGAGTGATCGAAGTTTTTCTTGTGCTCGTGGGCAGTCCGCAATGTATCTGACTCCCCACGAAAGAGTAGCAGCCGTTGTGTCGTGCCCTGCAATAATGAACCCAAACAGCTGTTCAACTTTGTCAGTGTCAGGTGACAAAAGAAGGTGAGGGAAGCATACTTCGTCATAAATACGCCTACGATGGAATCTCGGCGGTCTCTCGGCCTTCTTAGCAGCGGCAGCTTCGCGAATTACCATAAACTCGAGTGCGGAGCGCGTTGCCCATGCATTCTCGGAGCCGTCTTTGGAGATTCGTTTGACCGCTTTGTCAATCTCGCATCGCGTCCACTCCTCCCTAACTCTAGCGGCGTTTTTCAGGTATGGAAATTGACTCAGAATCCAGTAGTGCCATCGCGGTATTGGCGACGAGAAACCAACTGCGGAGCTTTCAACAATAGTCAAAGTGGCATCCAGTTCTGCCGTCAACGGATGAATGGGAAAATCCACAATCGTCTTCCCGGGCTGCGTGAATTTGACACCTGCCGTAGATCTAGACAACATGTCATCCAGCTGCCGCCTGGTGGCACTATTCTTGTCGTCTAGACCGAAGGAAACAGCTGTAATAACGTCGAGAGTAGCTCTCTGAATATCCGTCTTCCCATCAAACGGAAGTTCAGCGGCATGTAAGCACTTCTCATGCCAGAGCATAACCAAAGTATTGACTTTGGAGTATATCTCGGGAGCTGAGACCTAAGGCTAATTAGAAATAGTTTCCAATGGCGTCTAGCTGCCTCACCTGATTGAGAAACTTTGGTGACATGAGATCCCTCATCAGCTCTCTATGCTTCTTGAACTTAGGATCCACTGTCTGATAGGAAAGCATTTGGTGGGGGATGATTCCCGCAAATGCCTCCCGGGCTCTATCACTGCGGTCGAAATCCTTCAGTCTTTTCGAGAGAATGTCGTGCGCCTCTCGAAAGTCCGACAGAATCACCCTGGGCTTTCCGAAGGGGCGGATGAAGACTTGACAAACCGGAGAGTTGAACTTCTGGTTCTGTAGCGCGAACCATCGGCGTTGCTCCCCGGTTTGCTTCTGATGCTTGATCAAGTCCGGCAGGTCTCCTAATAGGCGCTTTGTGGCATTTTCGTTGTAAGGTATTCCGGGAAGAGGGTTGGGAAGAGCAAGTTTGTACAGGCAAAAGAATAAAAGGAAGATAGAAAGACCACCAGCTGTTAATTCAACCCATGACAGGGAAACAACGTGAAGAGTGGACATACTTCTGCTTCGTAGAGCGGAAACGGTTCCAGCTGGTTAGTATATAACAGAACGATATTGGATTTGGGAGTTAGAATGTTGCATCTTAATATCTTTAAAATATATCTTAGTTGCAACTACTCCATATGCTTTTGATCAATTGGAATCTGTGTCATACTTCTCATGGCTTGTTTCCGCGGAACTAGGTCCGTGTGTGATGCCACGATAGGTCCACTTTGATCACGCTCGCCCACGATACGTGAGCACTAATTATTGTCCTCCGAGCTTGTAGTTCCGCGGGGCTAGTGCGATCTATTGAGCCATTCCGAAACAGAATTTCGACCGGCCAACTCTAACCGGCCTCAGGGTGTAAGAAGACTTCTGACGCTAAACTAAGGTGTCAAAAATACTTAGTCTAAGATCCTCTATATATTTACTAAATTACACTAAGTTTACGTCAGGCTTTTTGTCACCTAGGATAGAGCTCCTAAGTTTTATTGCGTCCCCTTGCCAGTAACCTATTCTTCACGAAGTATAGGTATCGTAATCTATTACTAGTAGTTTAAAACAACTCATAACTGGCGTACGCTGTGCTGTTGAAATCCATCTTTCTTACCTTCACTCGGTGATTCAAGATCAATGCGTCACACATCTGGCTCATACGTCCTCTGATAACATCGCAACGCATATCAAGCCGCCACCATACCCAGCTGAAAGGCAATGCAAGACCTCAAGGGAAAGGTGATCGCCGTCACGGGTGCAGCATCCGGAATTGGTCTTGCAACCGCTCAACTACTGTTCTTTGTCGGAGCCAAGCTATCCTTGTCTGATAAGTCACTTATTCCCCTTGAGCAAGCCACCCAAGCACTTCTCGCCACGCACCCAACCCGTAATAAACAAGACATCACAACAGCAGAGGTCGACGTCACATCCAGCGCCCAGATTACTTCCTGGATCGAAGAGACTGTGAAAAGATTCGGTAGACTCGATGGGGCAGTTAATTCGGCTGGAATAAGTGCTGTCAAGATGGGCAAAGGCAGGGTCCGCGACCTCACTGATGATAGCTGGGCTTTGTGTATGGGTATCAATTCCACTGGGGTCTTCTACTCCATGCGAGCTGAGCTCAACGCCATGGTCAACGGCGGGAGCATCGTCAATGTGGCAAGTCTAGCTGGTCTAATCGCAGTCCCCGGGGCTGCAGAATACGCGGCCTCAAAGCATGCAGTGGTTGGCCTTACAAAGACAGGGGCCAGAGAAGAGGGCCCAGCTGGCATCAGAGTGAATGCAGTCGCACCGTGAGTTTCAACAATTTCTACCTTGAGGAACATCAAGGTCTATTGAACTCTGCTAACTTTGAGGTTAGTGGCACAATAGATACTGCAATGACTCAGAGTGTTCCCTCGGAGTTTAAAGCGTTTCTGAAAGACAGGGTTGCAAAGCAGCCTATTTCAAGACAGGGACGAGCCGAGGAGGTTGCGGCGTTGATTTGCTTTCTTCTCAGTGAGAGCTCGTCGTTTATAACTGGTCAGATAATTCGTATTGATGGGGGATCTTCAGTGTAGTATAGCATATTCATTGAATGTGAAGACAAATTCGGCACTGGCAACTGCTTCTTTGCATCCTCAAACTTTGGCTTCATGGGATGAAGGACCACTGTTTGCTCCCAGTGACCACTACACCTATTGGGTGTGCAGTCGAGGAAGCTGGAAGCCCAGATACAGAAGTAGATGCCGCAACTTGGCACGTTTAGTTATATGTTAGTAATCTTATTGTAGTCAAACACACTTTAGGAAAACAGAAGAGGGAAAGTATGTGACCATCTGGCTTGACCCGACTGGTTCTGAGCAGATTGAATTATAAATATCTCTAGATTTCTATGACCTAGTTCACATACAGTCATAAACCCAAAACATACGTCGGGCATGATCCAGGCGTGGCGCATTAAATTCAGTGCGTTATTGATTTTCAATGTGTAGTTGCCAATCTGCCTGCTAAATACCATACTATCAGTTCTCAGACAGGGAAGGTCTTTGACAGTGGATGTAAAACAGCCCTAGCATCTCTGCACAGAGTTGCGCCGACGTATCTCACGACCTTGAGTCGATGAATCGGATCAAACTCGGACACATTGAAGAGACCAATGGATCCCTCACCTGTCCAAACCTCACCATGAGTTATCTCAACACAGGTAGGGATAAATTCCCTGAGAATTGGAGGATCAGAACTATTCGCCGCCGGGATCGAACGGAACTGAAGACTCTCGCGCTTCATACCGTCAAGGGTACCCCAGTCTTGAACTTTCCTTTGCGGCTTGAACCCGAACTGGACGAGCTTGCACCCCGCGGGACGCTCAACATGGCCGGTAATGATTCCGTTGGGTGATGAATTAATGGCGGAGGGGTCAAACTCAACGTAACCCATCACCTTGGGAATACCCCAGCGCTCCCGTCCGGCGTATATAGCAGCTTCATTGTTGAGGATAAGCTCGATCGAGAAGGGTAGCTTCTTGCCCTCCCATTTGACCTCAACCTGACAGACAAACTCATTATACGCGCCAATGGGACCCATGCCATAGCTGAAGAGGGTGAGAATAACAAGCGGTTCATCTTCCAGCTCACATTCCTCAGGGATCATGTCCTTGACGGCGTCGTATGTGGTGCGGTATTTGACGGAAAGTATATGGACATTAGTGAATTCATCCAGGCCTGCTGGGTATGGCGGAGAGCAGAGAGGGATGGGGCCTCTGGCCTCTTTTGTCTTGAAAGTACCGAAGGGCATAGTTGTAAGTTTGAGTAGACTTTTATGGATACAAATTTAAATAATGTTAGACTACTCCATCATGACTAGGGAGAGCAGATGTTATATAATGCGGCATAGTAGAGATAGTCTACTCGTATCTACTTGCGTATCTCAATTATGATCACGATGGTCCCGTGGTTTCAGCGAGATTCGGAACGTCGGAACAGTGGCTAATTGGCTGTCACCCCGCCATATCGTGATGTTATTGAAATTGAGGGTGTTGGCAGCCGAAGCTTCAACCTATAGATATCAATCAACCAACTAAATACATGAGTAGACACCAAACACCCAAGTCAAGTCGAAATACTGCAATGTTCAGACGTTATCCTCGCCATATCATTTCCATGGACTCACAGACGTTTTCGTATAATTCCTCCGCGGAACTCGGAGGCGGAGGAAGCCTGCTAAATGTGGTTCCGTCCCGTTTATGGCTAGACATTCAGAGGGAATAGCTCCGCCTGTTTAGTGCCCAGACCCCCACGGAAGACACAAATTTGGGGAATCTCGACTTTGAACTCAAAGTCTCGATTTACTGTGATTGTAGGGCTCTACATTCAGTACCGTCAGCTTTATCACTCACTGGCTTGCACCAAGGCACTTCAACTCATTCCGTCATCATGAGCGACCTTGCCCATAAAACAGCTTTAGTAACAGGAGGAGGTTCGGGTAAGAAGACTCGCATTCCATTTTGCTATTCCTTGATCTAACTTGAAAGAAAGGGATTAACCTAGAACTCGCAAGGGCTCTCAGCGACAAAGGATGCGCTGTCCTTATCGCCGACATCTCACTGACTCCCAATGCCGCAGCATGGCTAAAGTCTCTTGGAAACCAAGCCAACCCCAAAGTGGTATTTCACAAGACTGATGTAACATCACTGGAACAATTGGTCGAGCTGTTTGAGGTCTTCAACAAGAAGATCGGTGGAGCACCTGATATCGTAGTGCCTGGCGCTGGCGTGTACGAAGGGTCCTTTCCTGGGTTCTGGGATGATAAGGACGAAACACTCAACTACAAGCTTTTCGACATCAACCTGCTGCATCCTCTCAGAATGACACGGATCGCGATCAGGAAGATGCTAGAGGTCAAGAAGCCAGGCACCATCCTTCAACTGTCAAGCATCACAGCCCAAAAGCCCTCTGTTGTTCTTCCACTGTACTCTGTATCGAAAGCTGCTATCAGCCAATTCGTCCGCTGCATGGCACCGCTGGACGACATGTGTGGCATCCGAGTAGTCGGCGTTGCTCCGGGGTGAGTTCGCATTCCCTCCACCTGATTTACTAATCTAACGTATAATATCTAGGTTGGTTGACACACCGCTGCTGCGTAATAATTCGGGAGCACAGAATCACGTTGATCCGGCTCAAGACTTCTTGCTGCCTACTGAGGAAGTCGTAAAGGCGATGATGGCGCTGATTACTGAGGCCAAGTACGCTGGGGGGACGGTTTTGGAGGTTGGTGATATCGGCAGTTGGAGGGAGGTGCACATATTGGGAGATGCTGGTCCCCAGGGCCGTTCAACTCGCGAACGAACCAGGACAACCGATGCCACGGCGAAGCTTGCAGAGATGTTGCTAGGAGACGAGAAGAATGTTTTTGGGTCTTCTAAGCTATAACTACTAGGAAATGATACTCCCACTGCCTTTTACCTCTGTGCTGAAACAGTATTTATTGCCACTATACCGTACTAAACGCATTGATAAGATGGGACGCAGAGTTAGAGAGACTACGAATGTGTCAAATACTAAATTTGAAGTGAGTGTCACAGGTGTTATTTATATGATGCCTTATGCTCGCTCTATTGTGCTCAACCAGCAACAGACTACACCATTGACATCCTTTAGTATCACTCTTAACCTAACACATCATATAGCACCAAGGGTAATAGTAAACAAGGTTGCTGCTTAAACGTATATTTATCTAGGTAATGTAGTCCATTTAGTATATCTAGAGCCTCGTGGTCCCGTTCGCAACATCTTGAACGTCTTCCTCTGTGTGATATCTTTCGATCTGCTTAGCATGCTTATCAAAATTGATAAACCAACTGGATTCAACTGTTAGCTAAGACTACTTGAAGCAAGGTAGAAAGGAGAAGCCAAGACTTACGTTGTATCTGGGAAGTCAGCGGGATTCCTTTCCCTATAAGTGAAACCACTCGCCAGCCAAGCAAAAGTCAAGTCCTCGCCCTCGCAAAGGCTCTTCCACTCAAAATCCTCCCACCTTGGGGTACGCAGAAGCTCAAAATAGTGAATCCGACCTCCAGGATGTAAACTGTTAAGCTGTCCCCCAGGAGTCCCGTTTTTAAACGTGCTGCTGCAATTACTCGCCCAAACTGTCTTGTTAAGCCATGCTAGGGCATGTTTCTGGTACGCAGCGGGTATATGAGCCTTAGGAACGCAGTAGCTATAGTTTTGAGTTTGAAGCTTGTTCACAAAGTCGGTGATGTACTTGGTCACCATCTCGATCGAGGTTACGAGACTACCGTGGCCGAGGGGGGAGAATGGGCCTAGGAAGCCAAAGTAGTTGGGCATGTCTTGTGCTGTGACTGAGAGGTAGGACCGGGGGTTCTCGTTCCAGAGGCGTTGGAGATTGGTTCCGTTGAGGCCGTTGATTGGGAAACGAGGGGCGCAGGATAGGTCAAAGCCGGTGGCGCAGATGATAGTGTCGACGTCAGTTGTTTCGTGGCCAGATGAGGTACGGATGCCCTTGTTCGTGAACGCCTCGACTGTGCCCCAGATCACCTGCACCTTGGGAGACGCGAGAGCCTCAAGATACCCATTGCCGGGTGTTGGACGACGACATCTATAGATCGATGTTAGCGATGCGTTCCACGTCTGGTATTTCTCTTGACTGACCCAACAGCAAAGTCTGGAAGCAGTGCTTGAAGCAAATCCTGTCTCTCTTCTAGCTTGTTGGCCATCTCACGAATTCCATACTCGCGAGCAGCCTTTTGCTCCGGAGAGTGGTCAATGTACAGACCGAAACGACTGTTGAGTTCCTCCTCGATCTGGCGCCTGTACTGTAGATATGCATCAGGGTCTTTCGCCCAAGCAGCCTTTTGCTCTTCGGAATAAGCATAGTTCGATCCACCAGGGCCAGCAAACTTGGAAGCGAAATTGGTGGTGATCCATGTCGGGCTTCTCATGTGGACATATATCTTCTTTGCGTCATTGAGGATGGCAGGGAGGATCTGCACACCACTGCTTCCATTGCCAATCAATGCCAATGTCTTCCCCTTGATGTCTTTTCCAGCGTCCTGTGGCCAGGCTGCTGAATGAACCATTCTTCCTTCGAACTGTTCTCGGCCTTTCACGCTGGGCCATTTCCAGTGGTTGAAGAAGCCGGTGCAGTTGATGAGGATATCACATTCTTCCACAAAGGTAGTAGAGGTCTCACCCTCTGTAATGCCTGGACTTGAAACGACAATATCCCTGCCATCGGTCTTAGTGACAGTGACTTGCCATACCTCACGCTCGGGAATCCAAGAAGCGTTGGTGATCTTGTGGGATGTTTTCACATAGCGCCGCAAGCCATGCTGTTTAGCTACCGCTCTTATGTATGATAGGATGTCCTCTTGCTTGGCGTAATACGATTTCCAGAATGGGTTCGGTGCCCAGGAGAACTGGTAGACTAGTCAGATTTTAGAGCGCATACAGGTGCCTTGTGGTTCACTTACTTGATAATTGGGTGCTGGTATATCGCAGGCGCATCTAGTAGGCCATTAGACTAGATGTTGTATTAAAAGCGTTTTAAATCGAGGTATATGATGAAATGAGCAAGTAGGGGGAGATTCAAAGACTTGCGGGCGTAACAAATTTAAGTACTGACCCTGGGTAGCGATTCTCATACCACGTTCCTCCAACGTCACTGTTCTTTTCGTAGACCGTAAGGCTAGCATTTTGGATATTGCCAGTGCTTACAGCCCTCGCCATCGAAAGACCGGCAAAACCCGCACCAATTGCAATAATACGCACTGGCCGGGGCGTAAACGTGGGCACTCGAGATAGAGCATAGGCCAGATCATCAACATCCTTGTATGCTTCTGTGGCTTCTCCTGGCTTGGCTGGTCCCTGGGCTAGACTTTGGAAATGCTTGATGGCACGGTCCCTCGCGCTCATTGGTTGATGTGCTGCCATCTTGGCCTTGTCTCTCGGTTTGGGGCAAGGGTAAAAGGGAAGTGAAGGGGATGGTGTTATGATTCCCTTTTCACGTATATTATGAAATTGTCCAGTGTTCTTAAGTTAATCAATATCAGTCGAGTAATCAACAGGTGTGATCTATTTGCCATTGAATCTTTGCCTCGCTGCTTGTCGTCAATGCCCAGGTTTCGGAAATAGTTCAAGTTCCGAAAACCCCAAGCATAATTAGTTCCGTGGAATCGCTCAACATCTTTCAAGCCACCTTTTGTCCAGGCGCGACATATGCACGATACGCAGTAAATTCTGTGAGTGCGAGCCCGTAAATGGTGTCTACTTAATTCAACTTTGACTTGATGATATAATGATTCTCTGCAAATCGGTCATCCACCACACGCTGATCACGGCTCACTGATCAAACTCTCTCCAAATACTTCGCTCAAGCAATGCGCACCATGGTTCGCGATTCACAACTCAACGCTGCTGTCCCAGGGATCCCTTTCTTTGCGCCAGCGCAGGATCCAAGCACAGGGACTGCAAAACAACTTGAACCAACCACTCCGACAATCTTTCGTCCGCTCAAGATCCGCGGCGTCACGCTGCGAAATCGTATCTGCGTATCCCCCATGTGTCACTACTCGTGTGCCGCAAGTGGAGCGCAGACAGGTGTCTTGACTCCTCTGTACCATACTACCATCGGCCACTATGCCTTCCGAGGTGCGGCGCTCGTCATGCTGGAAGCAACTGGTGTTACGCCCAATGGTCGTATCAGCGTCAATTGTCCCGGAATCTGGAACGATGCCCAGAAAAATGCCCTCAAGAACCTGGCAGACTTTGTGCACTCTCATGGAGGTCTTATAGGCTTGCAGCTTGGCCACGCCGGAAGGAAGGCTAGCACTTTGGCGCCATGGGTCGCCACTCGTATGGGACGGGGAAGTGCTAGAGCTGACGAATCTCAAGGTGGGTGGCCCAATGACGTTGTTGGGCCATCCGGAGGCCCGGGCTTTGTCTGGGATGGAAAGTCTAGCCAAGATCCAGAGGGAGGATTCTGGGAGCCCAGAGAGATGAGCATTGACGAAATCTCCGACTTGGTCAAGAACTTTGCTAAAGCAGCAGAGCGAGCTGTCTTGGCCGGTGTAGATGTACTGGAGATTCATGTTGCCCACGGTTATCTCCTCCATCAGTTCGTCAGCCCAGTCACGAATCAGAGGAAAGACAAGTATGGCGGCAGCTTCGAGAACCGAACACGGCTGGTTCTTGAGATTATCCAAGCTATCCGCGGTGTTATCCCTGCATCCATGCCTCTGTTTGTCCGAATCAGTGCAACTGACTGGATGGAGAACTCGACCCTGGGCAAGAATCTAGGAAGTTGGGATGTTCCTAGCACGATCCGCCTTGCAAAGCTTCTTCCTGACCTCGGAGTCGATGTCCTCGACGTTAGCTCTGCGGGCAATCACCCACAAGCCGCTCATAACGTGTTCGACGCTGGAAAGGAGCAAGCTGCCATCGCTGCGAGGGTGAAGGAGGAGGTGGAAAGGGCAGGTAAGCGGATGCTTATAGGTACTGTCGGTGAGATTACGGATGCTTTTCAGGCTAGAGACTTGGTTCAGGAGGGCACTGCGGGTAGCGTAGACCTGATTTCGGTCGGTCGACAGTTTTTAAAAGAGCCCGGTTGGGTTTTGAAGGTGGCGCATGAATTGGGCGTGGACGTGGCTTGGCCGCAGTTTATTTCGCGGCCCCAGATATCTCAGATACTTACGAAGCTCTGAACAATGATAGCGATGGAAGCTGATGTTAGTTGTTATGTCTTTCATTTTGTGGCTATGACCTGATATTAGCTGATGACAGGCTAATTCTAGTCATACTGATAAACAGTATACTGTGAAAAGGAAACTAGAAATAAAAGATGTGATATATTCTCAAGACTACTTATACTTATTTATATTCTTACACCTATTGTATTTATTCCAGGAGCATCATGTAAAGGCTATAACATAAAGAATCATATATCTTAAAATCATGTTTTACCAACCTACCCGGCAGGTCAGGCCGTGCTTAAACCACTAACCAATTGGATAATTAGACACTTTTTAGACTCTGTACTCCTTACCGACCAGAAGACTAGAGACACGGACAAAAGTGAGCCACCCGCGGAATCTTCTGTCCCACGGAACCATCAATTCCGTCATAGCTTTCTAACCGCAATTGCATCTTAAGCGTGCGCAAGAGGGTGGACAGTAACAGCCGGGTAAAGAGTCCACAGATCCGTACATTTTGACTAACAGACTTCTACTGATATCATCCTCTTAAGAATTATCAACCTGAACCGCATCCTGATTGAAAAAAAAAACAAAAAAACTTTGGCTTGCTGAGGCCAAGTTTTACATCCAATGTCGGTCAACGTACGCCCGAAGTCCGTGTCTAACCAAGTCCGTGCGACTCGCCTCGAGCTTGTCGATCGCCTCGAGAAACAATTGGCAAATGCCAAGCAATGGTATGACTTTGACCGCCCTCGAGACTACCGCAAAGCACGAGCAGAAGGCACTCATGGGTTTGATCGTCCACAACTCAATGACCAAGCCCGTCTGGTTTATACCACCGGGCGCGACGGACAGAAGATTGAACTCCGGGTGATCGAACCGCCTGGTCCGTCCAAAGGCGTTTTCCTACACTTCCATGCCGGTATGACCAACGCGCTAGTGTAGCCATGTTTAGTTGGTGACCCGTCTTTAGGTGGCTTCGTCATTGGGGGCAACGCCTCTTACGATGGGTACTTGACGCGACTGTCCGAAGCATCCGGCCTGACCGTGGCGTCTGTCGAGTACCGACTCGCGCCGGAGCATCCATTCCCCGCAGGCCGCGACGACTGCGTAGACGCGGCGCTTTTTGCTCTTTCTGCTCAGGGCGTCAGTCTTCTTGGAGCTCCCCTACGAGTACTCGGTGGAGAGTCGGCTGGTGCTTGGTTCGCTTTGGCGGTGGCCCTAGAATTGCGGGACAAGCATCAAATCGACGTCAAGTCACAAATCGCTGCAATTTGTGCAGGCTATGGGATATACGACCTCACCTACACGCCTTCCTTGCTTTCGCACAAGAGGAACATAGTCATCAGTCGCGAGATCATGATGAAGTTTTGTGAGGCGGCTTTCGGTCATATCCCGTTCTGTGATAGGAAAAGACCTGATATATCCCTGTTGTATGCTGACTTGGGTAACCTGCCGCCAGCGCATTTTCTTGTCGGAAGTACTGAGCCACTGCTCGATGATAGCATTTTCATGGCTGCCAAGTGGGTTAACGCTGGGAGCGAAGCTGTTCTACATGTTGTTGAGGGTGCTTGCCATGCCTTTACGCTATTTCCACTGGGTGAGGTTACCGATGCAGGGGTTCAATCAGTTGTGGAATTTTTACGAGTGCAATTGCAAAGGTTCACTACGTCAATACCTGTGGCCAATAGATTTTAGTCAATACCTTTCTTCTCAAAGCAGTCTGTCTAGGTAGCCACAGCAGAAACATGCATTACATAGAAAGATTATTAGTACATGACTGGTATCTATAAGGTGAAGCTTGGGACTATCTAGCCTCAATCTCATTAAACATCTCAGCTAATAATGAGTTAACCTCAAGACTAGATCGTCCAATCGGGTTTGGATTTATCGCGTCGAAGCTCTTCGAAAAATCAAATGTTTCTGTACTTGAGAGATACTCGACTTGATCATCCGGCATTTCAAAGTTCATATTGGACTCAGGAAAACCCTCAAGTGGGAATAAGAGGTTGTAATCTGGACTTGCCTTATGAAAGTCAAAGTCCAACACGCATCGCAAGGCTTTGAAGGCTCTGGCTGCCGACATGATTGTTGCAGACAGAGACTCTAGCATGCTGCCAGCTCGACGGAGCGCTTGCGGAAGTGCCTCAGCGCCAAGCATAGAAACGCCTTCACGGTGTCCGAGGGTTAGGTAGTATATGGACTCGACCAGAGAAGAAGTTAGTATATAACCGGCATTCGGGTTTGCGCCCCAGGTGTCCAGGTATTGGCCGATTGCATCCAAAGACTCGATGGAGATTGTTAAGCAAGATTCTGCCCTTCGGGCATTCGTCTCTGGAGAACAAAGCGTCTTTTGGCGGATGCTCACTCTGAGAGATTGGTATCTCTGAATTACTTGATTAGTGCTGCGTTACACATCCCGAGCTGGCGTTTAAAAACTTACTAGGAAAACAAGAAGACGGCGTCGATCTTCTGGTTCGGAAGGAGATTTGAAAATGGTGTTGTTCACTGACTCTTCGTTCCACGATAACGTGTAGGGGCATTGCTCCCTAAGAGCCAGAAGCTTGGCATCAAATGCTTGGATTTCAACCCAGTCACCCGCCATTGGGGCGTTGGGAGCTAAGAATCCGTCCCACACGGACGCCCAGAGTCTAGCATGGCTGAACATGGTCTTCAAATACACCCTGCTCTTCATGTCGATGTGAGGGCTAGTTTCGCGCTCAAAATCCACATGTCCAAGACTGTTTCCAACAAAGTACGGAATGCCGCACTTCTGAGTGATGCGCTTGTCCAGGAAGTCGAGAGTAACCCATAATGCCAGGGGATCTACAAAGTCCTCTGAGGATGTAGGAAATCCGTGGCTTTGGCCTAATCCCAGACTGACAGCGGAATGAAGTCCGTTAAGTACATGGGTCGAGGCAAGACGTAACCTCTCTGCTGACAAGAGATAGGCCGCGGCGAAGGTGTGATAGACGACAAAGTTTGCCTGCAGCTCGCTGCGTCCTTCAAAGTGCTGTGCGAGCTTCCTACTCTGCCAATAAGCTTCTGAGCCAGGCCATGCCTTGTCCAGATACAGATCAGGACAAGTTTTGTCGTCGAGGTTCTGTCCAGCTGCAACGATGACGAGAAGAATTGATACGACTAAGTGATGCGGCTCGGTCACAACAACAGACAGGGTGGTAGAAGAGTAGCACAGCGCCTCCAGTGTCCGTGAAATTGCTTCTACCAGCCTCGTCCCATTGATGGAAGGAAAGAAGCAGTCGATGCCAGCTAGGCCTATCTTTATCGCCTGAGTCAGGTCCTTGGGGCAAGGAAGCACAACGGTACAGCTCTTTGAGGGAGTTGTGTTTGGGAGAACAGGATCTGCGCCGACACTGGAGCGTAGATCACAGATTTGCGAAGCAACAGCGAATCGGCTCAGCCATTTGTTTCCGGGGACAAACGTGTCAGTCTCGGCATAGGTAAGCTCAGCAGGTTGAGGGCCATCTTGACAAGAGTCCGGTGATACTTCCTCAAGATTGTCTGTTGCCCTCTGTGGTTCAAGTGCCTCGATGGAATGGTTGAATTCGAGAGGCGGTTCATCTGGTGAGGGTGCCGAGATACCCATATGGTCCGGCAGTGGTGGAGTGTTGTGCGAACTGAGAAAGTCGAAGCTAAGTGATTGCTGCATCATCAAGGTATCCAGACCTTGTTGCAATCGTTGAAGCTGCTCCTTGAGCAGTGCAGTCTCTTCAGATGCAGAGATGGAGAGACTCGAGGAGGGAACAGCGCGTCTTCTGGATAACTGTCAGCTTAGAGGGATAAAAGTAGAAACGATATGCAGAGTTATAGTTGAAGACAGTGGCGCTATCATACTTGTTTGTGTTTGACGATGCCCGCTTTCGCTTCCTTTTAGTCGATCCATCTGATGGCTCTTGATAGCTACATTCAGCGCCTCTGCCGAGGCAGTTGTGGCATGGTGATTGTCCAGAACACTGCGATAATAGATCAACACTGAAGTGTTTATACCCATTAAGTGGGTGAGACTAACTTTGACCTTGCGTCGCTGGCATTCTGTGCTACATCCTAGTCAGTTAAACTCAGTCTAAGAACATTAATCACTCACCAAGCATGAGAGGTATACTCATCCCTCTTGCTAGATTTCTTCGTTGTTGAAGTCGAGGACATTTTCCGGTTCTCGTTCCCTTCAAAAATACATTAAACCGGGAAACGCGGGATTCAAAGGTCCAAGTTTGCTCAGCAGCGGGACCAGCGGAGCTCCGTTCATTAGGTTGCCCTGTTCATCAATTCCGCACCCAAGTGCCGAGGTAGATCCACTAACTACATCAAGTTGGTATGTCATCCCCGCAATTTCAAAACCTGGGGATCTGACTGCATTGCCTGAGGCCGCTGAATAAATAAAATCGCGAGTACTCCCGTTGGCCAACTGTTACGGGAAGTCATTGAGTGGGGTCGATGGAAGAGGCAGATGGTCAAATTCCAAACAGAGAATGCAGTACTAAGGCTGGGGGGGGGGAGAAAACACAGGACCTCGACCCTAAGCATTAGAAATATTTAGGTAAATCTAGCCTAAGCTTAGGGGGCTCTTTGATAAGTTTATTTTGACTCCTTATCTTAAGGTCTGGTGTTTTCTTGTCCCCTGAGGTAAGGATAGACCTCATCTCTGCACAAGAGCTTTGGAGAATGTCAGATCATGTATGTACTAGGTACGTATCTAGCATAGAGCCATCCTGTGCCTTGGACATCCTTTCAAAGATGAAAATTACATTAATTTGATAATTGATATCCCATAGACAAATGCCCTAAGCTGTGGGGAAGGATAATTTTCCACTCCTGAGTCTCATTCTCTTCCCGAATACCTGCAACACAATAATGATAAGAAATGCAAAAGCACAAATACCAGCCTGGGTACCGAAGCTGACTTTAGCGCCGACCGAGTTTGCCCACTTGACTTGAAAATAGCTAATGATAAACCCCCCAGTAGCTGTATGGGGTCAGCAACTTCCTCAAGATGTTGTGTGAGTAGTGGCATATTAACTTACTTCGCGCAAAGTTGATCCATGCAGATACCTCCCCTGATGCTTCGGGATAGCTGTCGAGATTATATGCATTCAGAGCAACTGTAGTCACCATGATACCAAAGACATATAAGCCCCAGAACAATGCTGTAATCATATAATGATAGCCCTCCTCAAGAGCGAAGCCCAGTCCCACTAAACCGGCGAGCATGAACGGCGTGCTGAACCAAATTGCACGCAGTCTGATTTCGGGTTCAAAGTGACCGTTGTGCGTCTTGATGAACTGCGTGGCAATGCCATCGTGTAGCCAGTGGCCGATTACCTCACCCAGAATAGCGGCAACAACAGGGGTGAAATAGAAAAAACCGATCTGCTTAGGACCAAAGCTGTATAAAGGTGTAAGGAATATTGACAAGGTTGTGTTAATACCAACAACCCACGCAAAGGTCAGTAGATAGTAGAGGCAAGACAGAAAGACGGTTGGCTTGATGATGACGCGGACGGGGCGCATGCAGGCTTGACCGAAGCTGTTACGGAGGTGGCGAGATTGATACTGGGCATAGCCTAATAGGTTGCCGATGCGTGATCCTCTGGGTGGCTGATTGGCGGCAGTGATGCGACGGTCGTAATAGGTCTCCTCGACAAACAGGATTGTGAGGATAAGCGCAAGCGAAGTCTATAACTTGGTCAGTTTGAAACTCAGTCGTTAGGCAAGTCGGCTATACTTCAGTAAAATAGACCCAGAATGCAATGGGCCACGACTTAGTCGTAATAATGAAGGCAGTCAACAATGGACCCATATACGGAGAGAGGATAATGAAGGCAGCCCAGATATTAATCTTGCGAGCACGCTCGTGGAAGAAGAACATGTCAAAGATGAACATCAATCCTCCACCTTGCGCGACAGTGCTGAAGAAGCCATTCAGAATACGAGCAGCCATGAAAGACTCAAAGGTCGTAGCAGCAGCGCACCAAGCGGCCGTGGCTGTAGCGATTACAAGGAAGTAGAATAAAACGGGGAGCCGGCCTGCCCATGCAGACAGGGCCACAACGAAGATACCGCCTGCGCCGAGCATGAAAACATTACCAACTTGGGAGTGGTTAACTGTGTCCTGGCTCATGTTCCATTGCCTAGAGCGTCGTGTTAAATGATGATCTCTCATTAGAATAAGTCTGTACTTACGCTGCCTGCGGGATGAGCGTAACAGCGCCAACAGCACTGCCATAGTCTGGAAGAAAAGCTGCGAAACTAACGATGAAGAGAATGACATGTTTCTTGACAGGACTCCAGTTGAGAGGGTCTCGTGTATCGTCAGAAGGTTGCGGAATCAGAACGGTATGCCCATCCTTGGCGAGCTTGAGGTTGCCATGGTGTTCCGTGTCAGCCTGGGCGATGTAGCCTTCTGAATCTTTGAGATCTGAGGACAATGTAGTGTCGCCGACTTGTTCATCCATTGATTGCTTGGGTTTGAGATCGTCCATGCTGGTCTGAGTTTATACAAGTGTAGTGACTTGTAAGGTAGCCTGTTATTAAGGTTGTATGAAATAGAGGGGTGCGTATATGCACTGCCCAGGAATGAAGATCTACTTTCAGACGATCTGCGCATCAGAGGGAAAGTCCATCATTTATGTCTAGACTCTCAGCCTGGTGTTAAGATCTCCGGCAGTGCAGTAGCCGGATCTATCTCCGGATGCGGGGCAATACCGGTAGGATGGGATGCACGATCCGATGTACAGTAGTCGTCGATCACCCTATAACGTGGGGCCCCGCGTTCCTAAGTGCTACCTACTCTAGCTTCCGGAAGAATATTCGATATCTCGGAAAACCTCAAACTCAAATCCAAATCTTCCGGCTTCCGGTCTCAGCATGCTAGGTTTTCCGAATCTTCCGGATCTTCCGACCAAATATGTAATAAAACAATTGAATGAGGTAATTTGATGTTCTATTTCTGTGTAGCAGTCTCAAAAGAACCGTCTCTGAGGAATTTGTAACACCAATTACTGCACCGATTTTGCAAACCCAACATGAAGGACTTCGTGTACAATGTCCAGACCAATCGAGTTGTCTTTGGTTCAGGCAGTATCACCAAACTCCCTGCTGAGATCAAGTGCCTCCAAGTCTCCCGACCACTCCTCCTTTGCACGCCTGGTAAACGTCACCTCGCAGACCAACTGTCCGACATACTCAAAGATGCTTCCCTCGATGTCGCTGGCATCTTCGCCCACGCCACAGCGCACACTCCAACATCTGTAACGGAACAAGGAACTTCCTTTCTTGGCTCCGTATCAGCAGATTGCGTGGTTTCTATCGGTGGAGGATCGGTTGTTGGACTAGGAAAGGCCATCTCCTTTCGTTCAGGCGTACCTCACATCAGCATTCCAACGACCTATTCGGGCTCTGAAATGACTCCCATTCTCGGCGAGACGCAAGAAGGCATTAAAACTACTCGATCCGATCCTAAGATCCTACCTGCTGTTGTTATCTACGATTTAGATCTTACCTTGACGCTACCTCCCACTATATGCAGCACATCTGGAATCAACGCAATCGCCCATGCTATCGAGGCACTCTACGCTCAAAATGCGAACCCTATTACTTCCATACTTGCCCTCGAGGGAATTAAATCATTGGCCGAAGCTCTACCTCAAATTGTGGAAAACCCCGACTCCAAAGCCCCTCGCGACCAGGCTCTATACGGCGCATGGCTTTGCGGCACGGTCCTAGGCAACTCGTCAATGGGACTTCATCACAAAATCTGCCATACGCTGGGTGGATCGTTTGGACTTCCTCATGCTGAAACGCACACTGTCATGCTCCCTCATTCCTTGTCTTACAATGCACCGTGTATCCCTGACCAGATGGCGAAGCTAGCTGCTGTTCTCCCAGGAAGCGATGGGGATGCGGTGAAAGGATTGGGGCTACTGTTGGGAAAGCTGCCGGTACCACATGGATTGAAGGAGCTGGGAATGAAAGAAAGCGATATTGACAGGGCGGCTCAGATTGCTACAAGTAACCAATACCCCAATCCACGACCTTTGGAGTTTAAATGGATTCTTGAACTACTGCGGAGGGCGTGGGCTGGGGAGCCGGCTGAAGCAACCTTGCAGTAAGAAACTTTCTATAAGGATGACTTAATTTATGTAGGAAAAGGCTGCTCTTCCGAGCCTAGTCTGCCTCACGCACGATGAAAGGAAGCATGGGCAGAGAAGTCATCGATTACGTGTGAAAAGAAAAGAAGATAAAGTCTCTATTGGGGTATTGTAGCTATAACATGGTCCACTCAATTGGCTATGACCTGAAAATAAACTATGAGACTCCGTATATATCTCATCATTCTGAAGAAGATGCTTCAAGTTATATGCTACTGCATTATAGGGCGCGGCGTCAGTGCTACCTAGAGGAAATGCCCTGTCCCTTAGCCACCAGGGTTCGTCTGCAGACTACCACTTGGATTCCATGGAAACTTAGGAATCTCAATCTCCCCAACAAACTTGCTCAGGTTAGGTGCCGCTCTATTCATATCAAAGGCGCAGGTAGGCTGCTTCACACCAAACCTCTTGACCTCGGTGACTTTGGAGTTCTTGTCAAAGGACATTCGGACTTGATGCACGGTCCGTCGTGATACGTCACCGGAAAAGTAATTCTGCGGAGAGATTATCATGGAAGAGACAGCTTTCGTAGCTACAGTGTTGGGCAGGTCGGCTGTATTGGGGAGGTGATGCATGCCGAGATTAAAATATCTACAATAATTGTCAGTTCTGAATGCTAGCCATGCTATGTTACTAGGTACTTACAGAACAATGTCTTCCTGGTCCAGACTTTCTCCATTAAAGAACTTATTGAAGTCGACAGCTGGACGATTCAAGTCGTGGCTGTTAAAGGCATATGCACTCTTTGGTTCAGTGTCGTGGTGCTGGAGGGCATAGAGGTTATGATTGGCCCAATTGGCTGCTTGACCAAGGGCCGAGGATGACTGAACAGTCAGAAATGCAGTGCTACCGCTGTCTGTAGACCATGTTAGCCATCGGTCGAGACCATGTGTATGGGCAGGTTGTCATACTTGGGGTTATGGAGTAACCGGGCGCCTCCCCGAAGTCATTCAGCTTGTCTTTGTTGACAACGGAATATGAAGCAGCTCCGTTTGGTGCCCAGTTTATCTTGCCGTCATCCTCGCTGGCAATGTACGAGCGGTTAACCTTCATAGTGTTGATAGGCTGACCATCGGACCATGGATATCTGTGCAAAGTCAGTGGGCTGATGTACAAACGTCGAAATATTTCTTACACTTGAGTGTGCGGTACAAACTCTGTCTTCATCAGACTGTTGTTCCTGCCCTTGATGTCCAGGTCCAGCTTGAAGTTGATGACATGGTCATGCATAGATCCAGACAGATTATCATGAATATGATAACCATAATCACCGTCTCCGGACCAAAAGGCTCCTTGGATATAGCCCGAGGCCCGAACAGTCACGGTGATGGTTCCATCATAGTAGAAAGAGTACTCAAAGAGATAGTCATAATTTCCTACCGTGGAAACGCTGCGTACGGTGAAGATGATGTTCTTGGTTGCAGAAACATAGTCCGAGGTCAGGTGTCGTTGAATAGGATAACCAGTATCGTACTCGAATAGACACAAACTGTTTGGGTGCACATGGGTAGTCTCACTGATGTAAAACGTTGTGTTGAGATAGGTAGCGTGAGATGGGCAGTCAAAACCATCGACGAGGTTCCATTGACTGGTGCCTATACCGTAAGAGGAATCAAGATATGCTGATGAGGCATGGAGCGGGTCTTGCGAAGCGTAATGCGCAAGAGCCTCTTGAAGACCAAACTCATAGATGAGACGTTCGCCCCTGAATCGAACGTCGTGTAACTGCAAACCCGTTTCTTTGTGGTTAGACAGGAAGAAGCTAAAGTCCACTTTCACGTATTGTCAGTTAGATGTGCGAAATATAAGTCCAAAGAACTTACTCCATTCAACGTAGTTCTGCTCTCTATCCACTCCGAATCGGGGACCATCAGGTTGGACTGAAATGGGAGGATACAGATGATCGCGGGGAAAGCTATCTCCTTGTTGATCAGTAGAAGTCCACGATCCGTCAATGACTGGACCTGGCTTTCGTTTCAAGGTCTTGATGCCCTTACGAAAGGCGGCAGTCGTTGGCCAGAAGTTGCCATCGTAGTACCAGCCCACCACCTTCCACTTGGATGGATCTCGACCCGTAAGGTCAACCTTGAATTGTAAACTGGTGGGTAGTACAGTTTCTGAGTAGAACTCGCCAGTGTGGGCAGAGTAGAACTCGTTCCACTGGTAGACCCTATCGTTACGATGAATGAGAGGGTCACTGCCTGCAATTAGTAGATTATCTGTTTTGGCACCTGTCGCGGTCTGTTGACGTCGTTAGTCAGTGGATCTTTTAACTCATAATTGGGTGATATACGGACACCGTTGAGAAGTTCCTTGGTGATTTCCTTTATCTCAGTGCCGATCTTGAGGTTAAAAGCAGCGATGTCTTCACCGTCAGCGTTGTACACATTGATTCGGCCTCGGCCAGATGTGAATATGTAGTTGAGTTCTTCATGATGCGTCAGGCCCTGCTGGATCGGTAATGGCCCGACCATGTACTCTTGAATGTAGGGCTGCACTTTTGAGTTAAACTGGAGGGTTGCTCTGGCATAGCGGACTGGAGCAGGACCGTGGCCTTCGAGGTAAGCTAATGCATCTGTCTTGTTCGGCTGTAACAGGTCCAAAGACACAATTACATTATCCCAGCTGAGCACTATTAGCTGATGTATCACGATAGCGCTATGTGAGAAATAGGCAGAAAATGTTCAACAAATCTTTGTTAGGTAGTTAAGCGAAACTAGACTCACGAGGTTGAGTTAACTACAGCAGTCAAGTTAAGGTCTTTTTGCTCATGAAGATACGCCGTAACATGGGCATATTCTTCATCCGTGAGACTTTGGAAAACATTCTTCACTGGCGCCTTGATGACTACCTCTTGACCAGAGCTGCATCCTGATGCGGAGGACTTGTACTCTGAAAGGCGCTTAAGGGAATGAGGCCGTGCTGCTGGACCAGCGGGGCCAGGATAAGCCAATATCCCGTTCGGTATAATAAAGAAGTAGAGAACCAGACTGATAGTGAGACGCATGACCGCCGGTAGTCAAAGGCCTGAGGCAGGGCAGAAAGTGGTGGATGTAATGGTGGTGACCTACGAAAGACGGGTAGAAGCATGCTACGGTTATAGGGCTGTAAACAACCTGGAAAGAAAAATGGCAAGTAACTCCCCGGCACAGTTATGCAAGGGGAAGCACGGTTAGCACGGCACGGCTCTGGTCGGCAAAAAAGAGAGCAGTGGGCAGCCGGGGCCTGTTGTAAGTGATATCTGATCAGCCAGCCACCAAATCCACTACTGCATGCTGCAAGCCTCTTTCACGGCACGCAGTATAGCTCCGGTCCAACGTCTAGAGCTGAAAAACGTTTGAGAAGCTTAACCTGTTTCGCTTTTAGTCCTGGCATGTCGATCTCGGAAAGTGAGGCTACCGGATGTTCTGTGTTCCAGTAAAATAATGGCGCAAATACATGATCTAGCAGCTGTGGCCGCAGCTGCAAGACCAATATCCGCATTATGACTCATTATCACCATATTCGAGCAGGGAAGAATTGCTGTAATACGAAACTGCAGGATGAAAATTTGGAATTGAGGCCGCACAACAGCGGATAGCGCGGTAAGCATGAAACTATGACATGGGAGGCTTTCGTGGTTCCTCCAGATATGGCCACATTCTCACTAGCATTGATATTAGCCCGTAGTCAGTCTCTCGCCGTAGGTTAGATACATGAAGCCATTCACTGATTCTCTACCCTAGAGAGCAAAGCACCTCTGGCGGATTAGCTGGTGATCTTGTCTTCGATCTTGGGCGATCATAATTCAGGCTCTAAATCAAGCCATCTACTGGGAGCTAACATAACAGGAAAAGGTACACTAGTCTAGTTCCGAATCATTTCCCTGGTGCCAAAGCCAGTCGTGCCATCTTTATCATACGTTTCTAGCAGAATATCATTCTGCATCATGCCTGTGGTGTTTCCTCGTCTCCCGTGCTTAGGCTCGCATACAGAGCAGCAAATGCAGAATTTGCAGGCCCCTTGTCCAGAAGCTGTCGCGGAGGTCCAAACTCTAGTAGTTCACCTTTATCAAGCACGGCTATCATGTCAAAGTCCTCGAGGGCTGACTGGAGCTTGTGCACGATCGCAATCACTGTGCGATTCTCAAACCTCTCACGTATAACGCGCTGCACAAGCTCATCAACATGCGAGTCAACGCTAGTCATAATGTCAGTTCTCGATGTCAAGACGGCGGCAAATGAACCGTTACGGCTTACCTGCTGGTAGCTTCATCCAGAACTACAATGGGCGAAGGGCGTAGGAGAGCGCGTGCGATACAGAAGAGCTGCTTCTGGCCATGGGAAAGGTGAAGCGCTTCAATGGGCGCATCAAGGCCTCCTTTCTCAGCTACAATGTCCCAGAGCTCAACGGCCCTCATGGCGTCTTCAATGGCCGCATCTGAGAGCGCTTGAGCAGGGTCCGCGTTCAGCCTCACGCTACTTCCTTCGATGAGGAATGCATCTTGAGGCACGCCAACTAGTCGAGTGCGAACTTCTTGGCGGGGAAGCGTGCTAATGTCGAGCCCGTCTACGAGGATTTTACCATGGTGGAGGTCCACCATACGGAAAAGACAAGACACCATGGAACTCTTGCCGCTGCGGGTGTATATAGGTCAGCTTGAGCATGACTAGTGAACGATGAGAGCATGTTACCTTCCGGTTCGTCCGCAAATGCCAACTTTCTGACCTGCCTCGATCGATAAGGATATACCTTTCAAGACATTTTCAGATGGTCTACAAACATACTGGTCAGCAACTAGTTGTAGGGCTTGGGTCAAATGAACGCACCTATACCCGGCAGAAACATTGTCGAAAACAATCTGGCCCTTGGACGGCCATATAGACGGTGGCTGGTCTGTTTCCTGTGGCTCGTGCTCTGAAGCAGTATCAGACGTGAATGATTTGATCCTAGAGATGGCACCAATGTGTGTCTCCAAGGTTGTCCAGAATGTCATCAGTAGCTTTAGGTGCTGACTGAACTGGATGATGTTGACAAGGGCCACGCCGATCAACCCAGTTGGGAGTACACCTCTCAACTGTGTGACAAGGACGACGACTAGTACAGCAATGACTGTAACAAACAAGTCGAGGACAAGAGTCAGCCATCTCTGAGCCGCGTAGAGAAGATAGAACGGCCGCTGAGACCGATCTAGAAGATCATGATGTTTCTTTTCCAGTGCGTCACGCCAGCCAAATGCACGCAGTGTCGCCAGTCCAGCGACAGATTCCGTGAAAAGCGCATACAGCGGGCTCTTTGCCTCAAGATCCATGAATCTAAGCTGCCGAGATGTTCGAAGATATGTATGCTGAACCACCCACAACGCGACGAACAGAAAGGGAAACGCGATGGCTGTGTAGTACGAACCTACAGAGATCAGAACCATCTCAGCGATGCACAACACAAACGTGGCAAAGGTGTTCAGCGCTGACAGCGGCAGGTCCATGTCGACCAGCTGAAGATCCTGGCTGAAGCGATTGATAGTGACGCCAGCATCCGTAGTAGCAAAGAAGGACATGGGTGCGTTGAGTACCGTCTTGAGAAGACTCTGGTGGAAGCTATTGCCTGACAGCGGTACCATGGTGACAATCATCTGCCAGGTGCTGAGGACTAGGAAGATAATCGCGAGCCCACCTAGCATCGCGTAGATGCCTAGATAATAACCCAGGCGTGCAAAAGGGTCTTTAGCATTGGCGACTGCCCACCAGTTGAGCCAGATAGTAGGGAAGGATTGGCAGACTATAAAGGCGCAGATGGCAAAGACGAAGATCAAACTGGGAACCCAGCCGATAGCGCGGATGTAGTATAGGTATATCGCCATGTCGCCAGTGCGACGACCAGCGTCATCCTTGGCTTCCTCCGAGAGGAGTACCTCTGCATCCAGCAACGTGTCAGCTGATGGTTCTGCAGAAGAAGAGACAGAAGTCGCTTGGCAATATGTCCAGTTCGCAGACGCTACAGCCAAGCGGGAAACGTAGTTGTCCGCTTTGGTCAACTTGTCAAAACTTCCCTCTACACAGCCTATACCAGTACCATCGAGGCTGATGATGTGGTCTGCGTAGGAAAGTCGATTTGCTGCAGCAGCAGTGTCAGCATAAGTATGAGAATAAAGGGGAAGTATGCAACGTACCACGAGAAGTCGCCAAGATGACGGTTGTATTCGACTGTCGCAGGAGGCCATTAGTGCCGAGTAGGCTATGGAAGACAGCGTTCTCAGTGTGCATATCCAACCCGCTGAAGACATCATCAAGGATGACAATCTTCTTTTGTGCGTAGACAGCTCTCGCTAGGCTGACTCGTTGGCTCTGACCTCCGCTGAGGACGATCCCCTTGCTCCCGATCCTACTGAGATCGCCCTTGGGAAGTTGAGCGAGATCTTCCGTCAGAGAACAAGCGTGTAGGACCGTTTGGTACCAACGTTCGTCGACGTGGGAGAAGCCGATGATGCTATCTCGTACAGTGCCGTTCATGTGCCAGGGAGTTTGATCGCAGTAGGCGATTTCCGAATTCATCACTTGAATAGATCCGGCTATGACTGCCACTTCTCCGAGAAATGCTCTGAGGAGAGTTGACTTGCCACTGCCCACTAGCCCCACGACGAGGGTAAGATTGCCCAGCGGAACATGAGCGGTGACATCACTGAGGATGGGTTTCTGCGTAGAGTCATATCCAAAGGCGCATGTCTTGACAACGATACAGTTGCCGTCCAGAGAATCGACAAGTAACGGGCCTCTTTGGATAGTGTTAGGCTCTTTCTCGGACAATCCCGAGTCCTTCTCCTTCTCGCTGCGTAGAGAAACTGGGCTAGATGACCCTTCGCTCTTGTCATCATATGAGATGATTCTGCTGTCGACGCGAACGTCTGTGTTGAGGAAAGCCTGTATGCGCGCAAAGCTCCCGACGGACCCCATCAGAGAGGACAATGAAGTAACAAACGAGGAAATAGGCTCGTTCAGCAGTGCAAACAGTGATAGAGATGTAAATATGCGGTTTATGTCCAGGTTGTTGTCTCCTCCCCGTGACTGGGCGACAAGACTGTACGTTGCGAATGTGAGGATTGGGGCAAAAATAGGAGCGAGGTATGCTATGGATGTCTCATAAGTAAACGTTCCATCCTTCGATGCTGGTTGAACCATGCACGGTAGGTACTCACCTAGGACCATATTCCAGATCAACAACCTACGAAATTTGCCGGAAATGCGCAACTCGTCATTTCGCAGAGCGTGGATACGAGTGCTGAGCACGTCGGTCAGTCCACACATCTTGACGCCCTTGATGCTGCCTAGCATCTGCGACGTAACAGATATTCTCTTCTCGATGGCCTCTAGCCATGCGGCTTGACGAGCCATGACAAAACTGACCGCGATAACAGACCCGATGATGGAGACTACAGGCGTCAGTACATTCATTCCTCATTCTCTATCATAAATCATTTCTAGCTGGACTCACAGATTGCTGCTCCGACGGGAATCAGACACGCAATGCCGAGCTGGCGTCCCAACAGGTAGACCGCAATAACAATCTCAACCAAATTGGCCCAAACGTCATGGGCAGTGCGCCAACCCGTATCGATCCTCTCAATGTCGGCACTCATCAGAGTCAGTGCTGCGCTGGGGTCAGCAGCGGCAATACTGATATCCGTGGCCTTGTCAAACAAGATCGAGACGAGTTGACCGCGTGCCATGGTGATGGCGCGATACGTGAGGTGTTGGTACTGGCCACTCGTGACCTATAGCATGAACCGTTAGTAGGATGCGCCTGTAGCGACAGAGATTCACGTACTGCTAGACCCATGAATACAAGAAACCATGCGCCTATGAGGCCATATCCTTGGTTCATATCGTCAGAGTCACTGTCTCTCTCTGCCCATTCGAGGGTTGCTGAGATGAGGAATGGCTGGCAAAAGGTAAAGCCGATGAAGCAGAGACGTGGAAAGATGATGGACAGTGTAGGCCACTTCAAGGTCCTCAGGACCGTCAGCATCAGAGCATGGCTGCCTTTTCTAGATGCTATGCCACTGTCAGTATCCTGTAAGCCACATGTTGTCTGCAGATTTGACAGAATGACAGACCTTTGGCCCACGCTGTTTCCAAAAGCTCCTGGAGATATGAAGACTTGAAGTGTTTTTCGAGAGGAAACAACGCCTCAATCTCCAGGTGCTTAGAATAGCCAGCGCGAAACAGCGGTATTTGCCAAGAGAAGAACCAGTGCGACAAGACACTACCAGTGACTTCAGGGGGCAAAGCACGGTACTGGGGCCGCAAGAAACGACGCTTCTCGATTGCCTCGACAGCGAGCATGATAATCTTTATCACGGTCGCGATGAGGGCAGTGATTGCCGCCGGCCGATTGTAGCCTTGGAGCCATAGTGTTCGTGTTCGAGCAGCATCGAAAAGAGCAGTGAAGAGTAGGAAGAGGATAAGCACCGTTGACGGTCGATACGAATAGACGTGCTCAACGTAGGATAGACATAAGATGCCAATTGATGCCACAAAAGACAAGGCAGCAGTGGCAAGAGAGGCTCTGGTCGTAATTGCGGAAGAGCGAGTCCACGAGATGAGAAAGCTGATCTGCGCTGCTAAGAGACCGAGACACAATGTCGTGAGGCTGTCAGTACCCGAGACACGACGTGAGCACATCAACTAACTCACGATTTTACAGTACAGCCAGCGGCTATTTTCTACCTTGACCCTATTCTTGTGCAGAAGGTACAGGACTCGACATGGGGCAGCGAGAAGCACCAGAGCAGTGATAGGTATAGTGAGAATTGATTCTTCAAAGAGCAGTGTAAAGTCGAAGCCGCCTCTACAACCACCAGCATATGGACCAAAAGAGTCGTCGCATGACAGCGAGACCATGATTGTGACTGACGTGAAACCAGAGATTGTGTGAGACCAAAGCTTTACAATCTGTAATCAAATTAATGTTTTGGCAGAATCGATTAAGGTTGTTTGATCAACGGGGGATCAATCGATCGCTTACAAGCTAAGTGAGCCGAGAAATCTGTCCCTGTTACTACAGAGACCCTTTGCAAGAGTAGCCGAGGAAGTGCTCCACAGACTGAACACCAGGATGAAAAATGTGCAAAGACAAATGTCATCATTGAGTAGCGAGCCACGTCAGACATGGTGCATGGGTACATACAGGGTAGGTAGGCAAGGGGCACGGCACGGCTCGCAACGGCGTAGCACACATGGTCGATACGAAGCCGGTGGAAACGATCCGGCGGACCGGTCGCAAGCGATACAACTGTACGTACTCTACATTTGGGCTCCGAGACGCCATCATCTGATCAATCTTCAATGTTTGGAGGATCAGGAACGGGACTGATATGTTAAAGATCGGCGATTTAAGGCAATCTCCCGGGGTGATGTTCAGCTGGCTCCGTAGCGGCGATCATAGTCGTAACCGGTATAGCTAGAGTGAACTAGGCCCCCATCGATGCTAACTCACCGGCGGGGACTAATGCAAGCACGGCAGCGGCTATTAGTGCCATATCCCAGACTAATTGCTTGATTGGCTTTTGATAATCCTGCTCAGAGGCTAGGTACGCATCTGGATATTCTCTTGTTGACCTTCCTTTCCAAGACCGAGAGAGATCATCACTCACTTCTCTCAGCCTCTTGTTCAGCAATTCTTTGCTTTTTCTGTCTCCACTGAGTAGGCCTGCTCAGATCATGGAATTAGATAACTAGTTCCACTTCACGACTCGTATTCCAGTTTACGTGGTCTTTTATCCCTGTGTTGTTGCACTGGAATCCATACCGGTATGTTACATGCATATGCCGCCCCGTGAGTCATGTCCGCGACTGACCAAATTCCTTTTTTACAGGCGCTTAGAACTGGAAGAGAGATCTTGCTAACCGTACAAAAAGAGAACATATGTTTTCATTAGTATTGATATTCCTTTTACCGAATTTGATTATATTAAGCCTCTATAATTTATAAATTTAGACAGAACTTACCATTTAAGCAAGATTATAAACCTACATAGAATACTAAGCTTGGCGTAAAACACGCAATAGGATTAAAAGAAAGTGGTCTTTATGTTGGTGCTGCAACCGCCACATGACCTCACTCCCTGCAAGCCAGACCTCCCTCCCATCATACCATGCCTCCGGGGCGCAGGAAAACTTCTCATATGAAACCGATGTACTCGAAAACTTAGTCTAAGATCTACCGAATCTTTACCAAATTTTGCCAAGCTTACCTAAAACTTTGTATCGCTTAGGACACAGGTCCAGTATTTTACTACGCCCCCTTGCGTGCTGACATAGATTCATGCTAGTCATATCATATGGAATACCTTCTCCTGAGGCCTGCCAAGCTTCTTCCCCCCGGCAGCGGAACCGAACTAATGTAGTCCCAACGGTCCACCGCCAAGAAGGGAGCAAAACAAGCGTAGTTCACAGTTCCGGGCCTCCACAAAACGAACAAAACGGCTGCATGGGCGGCTCGTGACTAGCTGCAGTTTTCCAGCGTCAAGCCGGTTTATGGAGTATCTCGATGCATCATAGTTTCCTCATCTTTGCACGCCATATTTGTCACTCCACCACTTGTTGAGTGTGAATCGCGCAATCAAGCGACAAGGATAGATTTGCCATCACGGCTCCACTCGTATTATCTGATTTCTTTCTGGTCCAGCTGCGCCGCCTACGTGCTCTCAACACTGGCTTGGCCAAGTTTGCTTTGTCAAATCGATCGCCTGAAGCATCCTGGACTTTCATCCGCCTCTAATGTCTCAGTTCAACAAGATATTTCTGGGCTCCATGCCACATCGGGCTACATCCGGGCTTTCCGGGTCCCGTAACCTGTTCGTATATGGTGGAACGAGAAAAATGAGGAAAGGGAGAGACAAGAAGGAGAGAGAATATTGGAGTTACCATGTTATCATTGGTGTAACGGCGTTGTGAGTGGCCAATGGGCGGAGACAACTATTGTGCTGCCGTTCAGAAGCAAGAAAAAGCAGCCAGCATGGCGAAATAGGCTGCATGTCGCTGTAGAGCTGAAAAATAGTCCTCTAATCCGGTATGGCTGGCTGTGTATATCCCTGAATGACACCTTGAATGCTGTCTCTTGGTAGTGAGGTTGCTGGTCCGTAGCAAGGATATATCTGCTATAACCTGCATCCGAATAAGTGTAGTCACCTTAAAGAAAACTATTGCTGTTGTGACGCAGAAATTTCACATTCTATTCGTTTGATGGTCTACATGTTTCTGTCATACAAGTCCTCAACAGCAAATACTCACCGAATAATCTTACATAACCTAAACAATGGCAGCCACTGTTTCTTGCGGCTGTGTCAGGACTGCCGATCAGTCCGTCCCAGATCTGAAGCCTGCCATGCTCCCGCAGTTCGATGTTTCTGAGACAGGTTCTGAGCACCTGGAATATGCCGGCCGGATCTACCACGTTGCACCTGACGATCTTAGAGACACATGCAGTGCTCTGTGGGCAGCATGGGCGATCCTTCTTGGCTGCTTCACCGGGCTGGATGATGTGTGTTTCGGCTTTGACAGTGAGCACAGCATTACCGAGTTGTCGGGACATGCAGAGCGCATGAGACAAGCTGTTCATTTTCGCTTGCCTGCCAATCAGCGTATCAAGGAGATTCTCACCGGCAAATTTTCATCGCTGGTTCAGATGAGCGACGACAAGGCCGAAACACTGTTCAACACTATTCTATCAATTCAGAGCTTTGATCAAGATGCAAGCAAAGAAACGGGGAAATTTCCTTCGTGGTGCAAGATTCGCATGGTGGTAGATCCTGTGACTCTCCAGACGCTCTTGACATGGGACCCTTCCTTCATGGGCCGAGATCAAGCAGAGAACGTCAGCAGCACTTTTGACAAGATTTTCAAGGAAATCATCAAGAGCCCGGAGACTCCCCTATCAAAGATCAGCTTCTTCAGTGAGCGAAATGAACGACAAGTCTTGGTCTGGAACAGCAACTCTATGAGAGATGTGCACAAGTGCATCCACCAGGCCGTGTCAATGCAAGGAGCGTTGAGACCCGATGCAGAAGCCGTTTGCGCTTGGGATGGAAGTCTTTCCTACCAACAGGTCTTATCCCTGGCAGATCGTCTTGCCTTTCGTCTACAAGCCTCAGGCGTCGGGCCTGAAGTCTTTGTACCCATCTGCTTTGACAAGTCTAAATGGGTTGTTGTTTCGATGCTGGCGGTCCTCAAAGCAGGCGGCATCTTTGTACCTCTCGACCCTTCGCAGCCACTGCTTCGTCTACAATCTCTCGCGCAAAAGGTGCAAGCCAAGACAATCTTGTGCTCCCCTCACCATCAACGCATGCTAGAGAGCGTAGCGCCAGAGTTGATCCCCGTCGATGAGCAGCTATTCATCCAACTGCCTGAGCAGAGCGACGAGATTGACTGTGGATCGTGGCGAAATGGAGCCTACATGATATTCACAAGTGGCACAACGGGCGAGCCCAAAGGCGCTCTTATTGAGCATAGAGCTCTCATGTCGAGTGCACTCGCCCATGGTCCTGCCATGATGATGGACTCCAACACGCGATCGTTCCAATTCGCTGCGTCTACCTTTGACGTGAGCATTACTGAGATCTTGACCTGTATGATCTTGGGTGGATGTGTCTGCATACCTAGCGAGGACGCTCGCCTTAACGCTGTCGAGGAGGCCATCACGCAGCTCCGAGCAAACTGGGCGCTGTTAACCCCCACATTCGTCAAGTTCATTAACCCCGCCAATGTCCCGACCTTGAAGACACTCGTCACTGGTGGAGAGGCCATGACGCAGGCTGTTATCCGCTCGTGGTCGCACATCAACCTGATCAACTGCTACGGCCCTGCTGAGACGTCTGTTGTTTCGCATGTCCACCGAGGCATGGTGCAAGGGACTAATCCTCTCAACATTGGCCATCAGGTCGGTATAAACTGTTGGATTGTGGATCGGGACAATCACGACCGCCTCATGCCAGTTGGTGCAGTGGGCGAGTTGGTCATCGAAGGCCACACTCTCGCACGCGAGTACTACAAGGAACCTGAGAAGACGAGCGAAGCCTTCATTGAAGATCCGTCATGGGCGACAAGCCAGCCGTCGCGAACTGGCCCCAGACGAATGTACAAGACGGGCGATCTCGTTAAGTACAACCACGATGGGACGTTTCATATCGCCGGCCGCAAGGACGCGCAGATCAAGTTCCACGGGCAACGGATCGAACTCGGGGAGATCGAGCATCACATCAATGCCAGTACCAGCATCAAGCATGGCATGGTAGTCCTACCAAAAGAAGGTTTCTGCAATGGTCGACTCTTGGCTATCGTGCAGCTCTGCGACGCCCTGGGCGAGGACCTCATGCCCAACGGTCAGCCGTATAAGCTTATCGGCGGCGAACTTGAGAGTATCGCACAGGACAAGATCGCAGAGGCTAAGAATCTACTTGGCGAGAGGCTACCTTCGTACATGATACCCTCTATGTGGCTCGCCGTTGAGTTTATCGCTCGTCTGCAATCTGGAAAGCTCGATCGGAAACAGACAGCGCAATGGATCGATAACATGAGCGAGGCTTTGTATCGACAGCTCAATCCTGCGACAGCAGTTACCCAGCTTCCCGAGGATATCAAGTGCGAAAGCAAGATTGAGATGGAGCTACACAAGATCTGGGCCTACGTCTTGAACCTCAAGGATGAGCAGCTTGGCTTTACACAGTCATTCCTCAGCGTCGGCGGTGACTCTATCTCCGCAATGCAGGTCATGAGCGAGTGCAAGAAACGTGGTCTCGGACTGGCAGTCTCGCACATCATCAACTGCAAGTCCATCCGCGCACTGGCGCTACAGGTCAAGGATATCGAAAGGCCTACGCTTTTGCACGAGGTGGTCGAAGAGCCGTTTGCCCTCTCGCCTATTCAGAAGCTGTACTTCGCGAGGCCGAACTACGACCAGGGCCACTACAACCAGAGCTTTCTCCTTCGGACCAGTCAGCGTATCGATCAGGCAGATCTACGAAAGGCAATGGAGACTCTGATTCTCAGGCACTCGATGCTTCGTGCGAGGTTCCAGCAGGATGCCAGTGGGGATTGGCAGCAACGCATCACCAATGACATTACGTCGTCGTATCGCTTACGCACTTTAGAACTGGCTTCGCAAGAGGAGGTCGATGACTCGCTTGTCAACAGCCAGACCTGCTTAGATCCTATCCGAGGTCCACTTGTCGCTGCTGACTTGATCGACCGAGGGACAGAAGAGCAGCTCTTGTTCGTCGTGGCGCATCACCTAGTCATCGACCTTGTATCCTGGAGAATCATCCTCCAAGAGCTCGAGGAGATACTACTCCGACCCGAAGCTGTGCACGACGCAGATCGCCCGCTTCCATTTCAGGTCTGGTGTAAGATGCAGTCCGAACATGCTGAGGCGCAGACACCGGACCAAGTCCTACCGATCCAGGGTATTCCCGACGGAGATGCTGAGTACTGGGGCATGGCAGACACCCCCAATATTTATGGGCAGATGGTTCGTCGAGGCTTTGAGATTGGGCCACATCAGACATCTCTTCTTGTGTCCAAATGCCATAACGCCCTACGAACTGAGATCCCGGATGTTCTCATGGCAGCGATGGTGTATTCCTTCGGCCAGATATTCACCGACCGTCCAATTCCAGCCGTTTTTGCAGAAGGCCACGGCAGGGAAGTCTGGGACACTTCAATCGACCTGTCCAACGTGGTAGGATGGTTCACTACCATTTACCCCGTCTTTGCTGGATCAAATTCGCAGTCCAGGCTCATCGATACAGTCAAGATGATCAAGGACGCAAGGCGCAAAGTTCCTGATAACGGTCGGCCTTACTTTGCGAGTCGCTGGCTGACAAAGGACGGTCGAGAGGCTTTTTCTCGCCACTGGCCTTTGGAGATCACCTTTAATTACCTGGGCCAGTACCAGCAGCTGGAGCGTGAAGGTGCTCTTTTCACTCCCGAGAGCAATATTGCTGGCGAGATTAGAGAGGCAAGCCAAGGTGCAGACGTTGGGCCTCTGACAGCTTGCATCTCCCTCTTCGAGGTGTCTGCTGTCATCGTCAAGGGATCTCTTCGTTTCTCATTCGGGTTCAACCAGAACATGAAACACCAACCGCAGATCCGCGAGTGGATTTCCTGTTGTGAACAGAGTCTCGGCCAAGTCATTACATCCCTGGCCTCAATGGCACCTGAGACTACCCTCAGTGACTTCCCGCTCCTGTCTCTGACCTATGATCGGCTGAGGGTATTCACGGAGGAGAAACTGCCCGAGGCTGGGATCACAGACATTAGTCTCATTGAGGACGCGTATCCTTGCTCTCCGATGCAATCAGGACTCTTGGTCAGCACCACAAGAGAGAACGCCGCTTATGCTGCCTACACACTCCACGAGGTCAAGAGCAAGAGCGGAGAGACTGTGGATGTTGAGAAGCTCATCGCTGCTTGGAAGCGCATGGTTCAATACCACGCTATTCTCAGAACGGTCTTCTTGGAGAGCGTTACGTTGGAGGATTCCATCTACGACCAAGTTGTGCTCAAGGAAGTCGAAGCTCCATTCACTGTCTCTGAGAGCGGCGCAGATGAGGATGCGGTTGCAGCTCTGAAAGTACCAACGAGCCATGGCGAAAACGCATCTCGACTGCTACACCATTTCCACGTCTGCAAAGCAAAGAGCGGCAAGGTGTTTTGCAGATTAGACATCAGCCATGTAATCATGGATGGAACTTCGCTGTCAATCCTCTTCCGCGATTTTGCACTGGCATATCAAGGGCTCCTCAAGGCTGAAACAGGCCCGCTGTATCGCGATTACATCAAAGCTCTTCAAAGTCAGCCTGTCCAGCCTGGTATCGACTATTGGAAGTCTTACCTAGCTGGTATCGAGCCCTGTCTCTTCCCCGTTCTGGATGACGGCGACATAGCAGAGGTCAAGGAGCTGCGACACTTGAGGGTTAGATTTGCTGAACTCGCTGAGTTGCAGAGTCTTTGTGAGCGGCAGGGAGTCACTATCGTAAACGCCATCTATGCAGCCTGGGCGGTGACGTTGCGTTTATACACTGCATCTGACGAGGTCTGCTTTGGCTATCTGACATCAGCTCGTGATTTGCCGATCGAAGGTATCCGCGATGCCGTCGGTCCCATCATCAACATGGTCACATGCCGTGTCAACGTCAACAGCACAACCAATCTTGGCGACATCATGACCTCAGTGCAGAGAGACTATCTCGAAAGTCTAGAGTATCGCCACACCCCGCTAGCCCAGGTGCACCACGCCCTCCAGCTTTCCGACGCTGTTCTGTTCAACACAGCCTTGTCGTACAGAAAGCTACCGCCAACGCCGCAGGCAGACCTTGTTTTTGAGGAGTGTTGTCCTACCTATGACCCGGATGAGTACAATGTGTCGGTCAACATTGAAGCAGGCGAGCACGACATGGCGATTGACTTGATGTACTGGTCAGACACGCTGTCTGACGGACAGGCTGCCAATGTTGCTGGCACTTTTACAAAGGCGCTCAGCAATATTCTACATCACTCCAACGAGCCGATTCACCAGCTGAACCATTTGGGTTCCTGGCACAGCAACCAGATCAGCCATTGGAATAAGCGGATACCGGACGCCATTGAGAGGTGTGTCCATGATTTGTTCAAGCAGCAAGTTGCCTCGCGCCCTGACAGCCCCGCGATTGTCTCATGGGATATACACTTCACGTACGCCGAGCTTGATGCCGCCTCTGACAAGCTTGCCCATTACATTGCTTCCTTGGGCATCGGCCTACAGACCTTTGTGATGGTCTGCTTCCAGAAATCTGCCTTCGCTATAGTTTCGATGCTCGCAATTCTCAAAGCTGGTGGTGTATGCGTACCTCTGGACCCAGCACACCCGGAAGCTGCGCATCGACTTCGTGTCGACGACACAGGAGCTACCATCGCCCTTGTATCTCCCGCATCAGTAACCAAGCTCAGCTCCATCGTCAAGACAGTCGTGGCTGTGGATGCAGATCTACTCCGAACCATCTCCATGGCACCCGCGCCACCTCTTCCTCAAGTCACACCTTCCAACGCCTGCTTCGTTATCTACACGTCTGGTAGCACCGGTCGTCCCAAGGGTGTAGTGCTTGAGCACAGAGGCATCGCCAGCAACGCCATGTACTCAGGCCCCAAGCTAGGCTACGGCCCAGACTCGCGGGTGTTGCAGTTCGCCTCTTACACCTTTGACAACAGTCTTGCTGAGATTTTTAGCACCATCAGTCTGGGAGGCTGTGTATGCGTACCCTCGGACCATGAGAGGCTGAACGATTTGGCTGGAGCCATTAATCGTTTCAGCGTCACGTTGGCCGACATAACACCTACTGTGGCTTGCTTCCTCGATCCATCAGAGGTTCCGACTTTGAAGACTCTGGCCCTTGGAGGTGAAGCTGTGACTGCCAAGTGCGTTGGCATCTGGCGCGACTTTGTGTCCCTGACATGCTGCTACGGACCGTCGGAATGCTCCGTCAATTCGACCTTCTCTGGAGACATCGCGCAGCCAGGAAAGGCCAACAATATTGGCCGTGCGATTGGTAGCGTCGCTTGGGTAGTCGATGCGACCGATCACAATCTCCTCGTCCCAATTGGTTGCGTTGGCGAGCTACTCATCGATGGTCCTATTGTGTCTCGAGGCTACCTGAACCTCCCAGACAAGATGGCCCTGTCTTTTGTTCCTCCACCTGCCTGTATCGAGGGGATGACTGAGAACGCTGGGTCAGATCGCAAGCTCTACAAGACCGGTGACCTTGTGCGCTACAACTCTGACGGCACACTTACCTATCTTGGGCGGAAGGATACCCAGGTCAAGCTCAACGGCCAGCGCATTGAACTTGGAGAGATTGAGCACCACATCGAGGAAAATCTCCCCAAGGGCTGGGAATCTGCGGTGGAGCTCATCACATCGCAGGGCAGAAAGTTGCTCGCCTGCTTTATCTGTGCCGACACCGATGTTTCCCTCAGAGAAACTAGCAACGATAGCATGGTGCTGGACATGGATGACTCTTTCAGGTCTCACGCCAAGAGGCTTGAGATTGTGCTGTTCAATGCAGTCCCTGCCTACATGGTCCCATCCGCGTGGCTCCCGGTCTCTAAGATGCCTCTTACTTCTTCAGGAAAGCTGAACCGGCGCAGTCTGAGGGCTCTTGGTGAATCCGTGCCGGCAGCGAGGATGAAGTCGTACAAGCTTGCTCTCAAGAGTGGCAGAGCACCATCCAGCGAGGTAGAAAAGCAGTTGGCTGCTATGTGGGCTCAGCTGCTGGACATCGATGTGGCTTCTATCGGAGTGCAAGATCACTTCTTCAAGCTTGGAGGAGACTCGATCGGGGCCATGCAACTGGTGACGCTGGCTCGATGTTCCAACATTGACTTGACCGTGACTGGAGTGTTCCAGAAGCCTTCCCTACTGGACATGGCGGAGTCGGCGGTGCCGTTATCCAAGGCCCCATCCACGACATACCGGCCGTTCTCGTTGTTGTCTGACAAGTGCTCGGTCGATGCGTTGCGACAAATTGTTGCTGACTCTGCTCGTATCGATTTCGGCGATGTCCAAGATATTTATCCTTGTTCCGCACTTCAAGAGGGTCTTATGGCTCTTTCGAGTAAGGAACCTGGCGCTTACGTGGCCCAACTCATCTATCGACTGCCAGACGACATCGACACCATCAGGTTCCGGAAGGCTTGGAGCCTCGTGGTGGAAGCTGAACCGACGTTGCGAACGAGGATCGTTCACACAGAAGAAGCCGGGTTCGTGCAGGTTGTTGTCGCCGGGGAAACACCTCAATGGTCTACCTTTGCCAGCCTCTCCGATGCCGACACAATTCGACGCCAGCTTCCGCTGCATAACGGTGCAAGATTGACCAATTACGGCCTTGCTGACGATGGTTCTACAAGCAAATACTTTGTATGGACTATCCATCACTCCATCTATGATGGCTGGTGTCTTCCTCTCATTCTCGACAAGGTTAAGCGATGCTACTATGACGATCTGACTCTCGCACAAATCAAGGGCCCTGACTACTCCAACTTCATCAAATACCTTACAGACCTGGACCCGAAACAAGACACCAACTTCTGGATGTCGCACCTTTCCAACATGTCCACTCAGCACTTCCCACGTCTTCCTAACGCAGAATACGAGCCTTCCGCAACGAGCATGATGGTTCATAGAGCAACCTTGGGGAACACATCGGGTTCAGAGATCACCACTGCTACTAGGATCCGCACAGCCTGGGCAATGGCGGTCTCTACCTACTCTGGAACCAACGACGTCGTCTTCTGGGAGACCATGACAGGGCGCGATGCCACGGTCGTCGGGATCGAGGAGATGGCGGGTATCACTTTGGCTACTGTACCAACACGTGTAGTCGTGGAACCCTCACAAACTGTTGCCGCATTGCTTGCCTCTGTGCAGGACCACTCAGCAGCTCTCAGAAGACACCAATTCGCTGGCATCCAGTCTATCAGGAACATCAGCGCAGACACGGCCCTTGCTTGCGGCGCTCAGAATCTCTTGGCCATCAACTACGGACCTCGAGAGTCGACTGATGCCTTTTGGTGCGAGCAGTCCAACGAGATGGCCGGTACGAACTTCTACTCGTCGTATCCGCTCATGCTGTCGTGCCACTTTGCAGACGGCGAGCTCGAGACTGTCGTCCACTTCGATCCCAACGTTGTACCTGAGGCTCAGATGCAACGCATAATGGATCACTTTGCGCTCATGTTGGAGTCCGTGTCGTCGTCTGACCTGTTGGACGAGAAGCTTCGCGATGTACCTTTGCTGAGCGGCGGTGACCTACAGACGCTGCGTGATATGAACGGCACTCTTCCCTCAGCCTCTGGACACCTCATTCACGACGTCTTCAGGGCTCAGACACTTGCTCAACCACGGGATAAGCTCGCTGTCGTGTCGTGGGACCAAAGTCTCACATACACTGATGTGGACACTCAATCCACAAGTCTGGCTGCTGTCTTGGTGGCAAACGGCGTTTCAGTCCATTCCATCGTTCCTTTCTGCATGGACAAGTCATCTCTGGTCGTTGTCTCCATCCTAGCCATTCTCAAGTCGGGTGCTGCCTTTGTGCCTCTCGACCCAGCGCACCCGGACGCTCGGATTCAAGGCATTCTCTCAGACACTCGGGCTACAGTCATTCTATCGTCTGATCAACACGCGGACCGATTGACAAAGCTCGGATCGCAGGTCATCTCCGTCTCGCAGGCTCTGGCAAACGGTGGTACCCAAGGCCAGGACGACCTAACCAACCAAGTGCCTCTATCATTGTCCGCCACCAGCCCAGCCTACATCATCTTCACTTCCGGCACGACTGGGAAGCCGAAGGGAACCATTGTGGACCACTCCGCGTTCTGCACAGGCGCGTATGAACACGGTCGCGCCATGGGAATGACAGAGTCGTCACGCGTCTTGCAGTTTGCTTCATACACCTTTGACGCCAGTATCATGGAGGTCCTCACAACGCTTATTCACGGCGGTACAGTTTGCGTTCCAAGTAGTGATGAGCGTCTCCACGATCTTTCGGGTGCTATCAACAGAATGGACGTTAACTGGGCTCTACTGACGCCTTCGGTTGCCCAACTGCTCCAACCATCGCTTGTCCCTAGTTTGAAGACACTGGTGCTCGGCGGCGAGGCCATGTCTTCTGCTCATATCTCGTCGTGGGCGCCGTCAGTTCGTCTTATGAACGCATATGGACCCAGCGAGACTGCCGTGGTGGCTGCTGTCAACCCGAGTGTCACACTGGATTCTTCTCCTTCAAATATCGGTCGTGCTGTCGGTGGTATTTGCTGGGTCACTGATGCCACCAACCACGACAGACTTATGCCCATCGGCGCTGTCGGCGAGCTCGTCATAGAAGGTCCTATCCTCGCTCAAGGGTACTTGAATGACCCCGAGAGAACGGCAGAATCTTTCATCACCAGCCCAAAGTGGTGTCAACACTTCCCAACGGCTACTGCCGACAGGGAACGCAGGTTCTACAAGACGGGAGACTTGGTCAAACTTACTGAGGATGGGATTGAGTTCCATGGACGCAAGGATGATCAAGTCAAAGTCAACGGTCAGAGGATTGAGCTGTCGGAGATTGAGCATCATTTGAGCGCGGACCCAGCCGTCGAGTCCTGTTTAGCGGCTGTTCCGGCTTCTGGCCCTTTCAAAGCCCGCTTGGTCGGCATTCTATCCTTACACTCTGTTTCTACCACCAAGGCAGAGATGACCAAAGAGGGAGAGATGCAAATTCTGACCAAGTATGCTCCATCCGTTTTGGTGGGTATTCGTGAAGGTCTTGCAAGGCATCTCGCATCCTACATGATCCCATCCCTATGCATTGTCGTAGACTCTATCCCCCTACTCCCCTCTGGCAAGCTTGACCGCAGGCGTACCTTTAGATGGGTTGAGGACATGTCTCTTGAACAATACCACCTCGTTCTTGACGCGCAGGAAGATGCGTCTGCTCTGGACAGAGATGCATCAGAGGTGGAGATCAAACTTAGGGCTGCTTGGGCCAAGGCCCTCAACCTCAAAGTCGATATGGTTCCATTCAAGCAATCTTTTATCCACCTCGGCGGTGATTCAATATCCGCCATGAAGCTAATGGCCATTTGCCGCTCCTCCAACATGGCTGTATCTGTCAGCCAGATCATGCGAGCCAAGTCAATCATCGATCTTGCTTCAGCAGTTACCAACGTCAAGGAAGTCATCTACGACAAAGAACAGCTGGAGAAGCCCTTTGAACTATCACCGATTCAAAAAGTTTACTTTGAGGGTATTGGTCTAGGTTCCCACCACTTCAACCAGAGTATGACTCTGGCTACGACCTGCAATATCACCTCACAACAGCTTTCGGATGCTCTGCGCTCTATCGTCGAGATGCATAGCATGATGCGTGCTCGCTTTTCGCAGGCTGATGGAAAATGGACCCAGCGGATCACCAGCGACGTCGCTAGCTCCTACGCCCTCCGTTCACACGGCATCATTGACAAGAAGCGTCTCTTGGAGTTGGTAGCGGAGAGTCAGACTACCCTAGACATTATTCATGGACCGATACTTGCTGTCGACATGTTTGAGATGGAGGGAACTAGCAACCAGATCGTCACATGTGTGGCTCATCATCTGATTGTCGATGTTGTGTCTTGGAACATCCTCTTACAGGATCTAGAAGGGTATCTGTCACCATCTACCTACAGCCCTTCCAAGTCAATCTCCTTCCAGACGTGGATTTCCAAGCAACTTGACGAAGCTCGGAAAACCTCACTTGCGCATGTATTCCACGATATCGCCGTCCCTCTATCAGACCTCGGCTATTGGGAAATGGAAGGCGTACCGAATATTCATGGCGACTCAATAACAAAGACAATGACGATACCCAATGACACATCGGTCCTACTCTCTGGTAGTGATCATGATGTCGTCGACGTCTTGCTAGCATCATTGTTAGCGTCCTTCCGACAAACCTTTCCAGACCGTTGTTCGATGCCCCCCATATTCAACGAAGGTCATGGGAGAGAGCCTCCCGATGACACTATAGATTTATCACGCACCGTTGGATGGTTCACCACTCTCTGTCCTGTCTTTCTCCCCGAGATCGTTCCCACTGAGTACGACATCCTTGATGTTGTGCGTTGGGTGCGAGACTTTCGGAAAAAGCTTCCCGGCAATGGTCGACCTTACTTTGCTCATAGCATGTTGTCGGACTCGAAGTCCCAGATCGAGTTCCCAGTGGAAATTGCCTTTAATTTCCTTGGCCATGCACAGGACTTTGGAACAGAGGATTCTGTGTTCAAAGCTGTCGATGGAAGCATGTTGGACTCCTTGAGCTCGCAGTTCGACATTGGGGCCGACATCCCACGCTTGGCACTCATTGAGATAGCTGCTTCTTTCACTAGCCAAGGGCTAGTCTTTGACTTTTCCTTCAACCGCCAGATGGAACGTCAGACGTCTATCAGCAAATGGATCGAGAGCTGTAGGGACTGTATACACCGAGCAGCCCAAGGGTTATCTCAGGCTACACACCAGCCATCCCCGGATCTATCTCTGCTTCCTCTGGCCTTCAAGAAGGAGGCCCAAGTTACGCAGGCTCTTTCTGAAGTGGGCATCTCTCCGGACAACGTTGAAGCGGTATACCCATGCTCTTCGGTTCAGCAGGGCATCCTCTTGTCCCAGGTCAAGAACCCTGAGTACTACTCTTACTCCATCACATTTTCGGTTACCTCCACACGATCGGGTGATGCGATTGACGCACAAAGACTGTCGGAAGCTTGGAAGCATGTAGTACATCGACATTCCACGCTTCGGACCGCGTTTGTCGACAGTACACTCCAGGAGGATGCCATCAGTCAAGTCGTTCTGAGGAATCACGACGCCGACATCTCCATCGTTGAGTGTCCTTCCAAAGAGATAGACTTTAGCCTCAGTGACCACTCGCCTCTTGGCCTTCCGACAAATCAACCACCTCACCGTCTTACAATCTTTAACACTATAGAGGGTACAGTGCAGTGCGTTCTTGAGATGAGCCACGCCATCTCCGATGGAACCTCCATGCCACTTCTATTCCGCGACCTGGGCCAAGCATACGAGGGCAGCTTGGATACTACCAACCTTGCAGTTTACAGGGACTACGTCGCCTCCTTGCAGCGAAGTGGAGGCTCTCAGGATGCCGAGTACTGGAAGGCGTATCTTGACGGCGCTGAGCCTTGTTGCCTACCCCTGCTGACAGACGGGACCCCATCGCCCAGGTCTCTTCAAGCCCTTACCCAAGGTATCTCGCATGCCGCTAAGCTACAGGCGCTCTGCGCCGAAAGAGGCATCACTCTATCCAACCTCCTACAGCTGGCGTGGGCACTGGTACTTCAAGCATACACAGGTCTTGACGACGTGTGCTTTGGCTATCTCGTTTCTGACCGAGATGTACCCGTTAGTGGCATTGACGAGGCAATTGGCGTATTTATCAGCATGCTCGTCTGCCGCGTCCGCCTCGATCAATCCACCAGCCTCGACAATGCCCTACGAACCATCCAGCAAGACCTCGCCACGGCTATGAACCACAAGAATGTGTCGCTTGCCAACTTCCAACACGCCGTGGGTATCTCCAACGAGCCTCTATTCAACACCGCCTATTCCTTCCAGCGTAGGTCGGTCTCCAAAGACATGGCGACAGGTGCCCTTTCGTTCGACATCAGAGATGCGCAAGATCCTAGCGAGTACGACATGACTGTCAATGTCGAGGTCTGGGACTCGAGTGTGGAACTGCAGTTATGTTACTGGCAAGACAAAGTCTCAGACGCGCAGGCTCTCAATATTGCTTCTACACTTGATCAGGTTCTTTCCTCGATCGCGACATGCGACACATCACTTCCGGTAGACCAACTGGATATCCTCAGTGACCATGGTAAAGAGCAATGGATGTCGTGGAACAACGCTGAGCCCGAGGTCTTGAACAAATGTGTGCACCACGTCTTTGAGCACAACTGTCAACGACTGCCAGACCATACACCAGCCATCGACGCGTGGGATGCCACATTTACCTACCCTGAACTCGATGCAGCAGCTTCGCGGTTCACTCAGTACCTCGCCTTTCTCGGTATCGGGCCAGAGACGTACGTCCCACTGTGCTTCGAAAAGTCAGCATGGACCGTCGTTGCCATGATGGCTGTCCTCAAAGCCGGTGGCGCTTTTGTTCCTCTTGATCCCACTCATCCACCCGATCGTATCAAGTTCCTGGTTAGCAACGTCAACGCCAAGCTCATCATCTGCTCCGCGTCCTTGAAGGCCAAGTTCGATAGCCTGGGTCTTTACGCTGTTCCCCTTGGTAAAGAGACCATGTCGTTACTACCCCCCGTGTTGCCGGACTCGCCCAAGATAACAGTTCGGCCTGACAACGCTGCTTACATCATTTTCACCTCGGGAACAACAGGTGTTCCTAAGGGTACGATAATCGAGCATGCATCCTTCACAACGGGAGGCACCAGTCACGCCAAGGCTATCATGATGACATCTTGCTCTCGCGTGCTACAGTTTGCTTCACATACATTCGATGCTAGCGTCATGGAGATACTCTCCACCTTGTTAGTAGGTGGCTGTATCTGCATCCCCAACGACCAAGACCGCATGAACGACTTGTCAGGCGCCATTACCAAGTTGAGCGTCAACTGGACTCTCCTCACACCATCCGTCGCGAGCGTTCTCAAGCCTGGCAGTCTTCCTACCCTGAGAGTCCTCGTCACTGGCGGCGAGGCAATGTCTAGAGATCACATCACGAAATGGGCTGGTCATGCCGCTCTCGTCAACGCGTACGGGCCTAGTGAGACGAGTGTTATCGCTGCAACGAGCACAAAGGTCGATCACGACGGAAACATCATCAACAACGACCCGGGTACTATCGGTCACGCTGTAGGTAGTCGTTGCTGGGTCGTCGATACACGAAACCACAATCGACTGATGCCGATCGGTGGCATCGGTGAACTACTCGTGGAAGGGCCTATTGTGGCCAGAGGTTATCTTAACAACGAGACAAAGACGAAAGAGGCATTCATAGACCCTCCATCTTGGCGTACAGGCATGAAGCTCGAGGGAGATTGCATCGGTCGTATGTACAAGACTGGTGATCTGGTGATGTACAACTCGGATGGATCACTCAAGTACGTGTCGCGCAAGGATACACAGATCAAGCTCAATGGACAACGTATTGAGCTCGGAGAGATCGAGTACCATGTCCAAGCTCACTTGCCAGACTACATTCAAGCCGCTGTTGAAATAGTCGTTCCGCAGAGAAAGACGTCAACCAAGGCACTAGCCGTCTTCTTTACCAGCGACGACAATGTCGAGGATACATCTACCCAAGACGTCGATCCAATCCTAGCAAGCATGTCGAGTCCTTCGACAGACCTTGCCCAGACCCTCAAGTCAGCACTTAGGGACGCTCTCCCATCGTACATGGTACCTACCATCTACATACCGCTCTCCAAGATGCCATTGACCCTGGCTGGCAAGCTTGATCGCCAGAGACTCAAGACAATTGCTAGGTCTGTGCCGACCCATCTGATGGCCTCCTACAAGCTCTCCGGCTCGTCTCGGAGCGGAAACCTCCCTACAACGGCGATGCAGCGCAAACTGCAGAAGGCCTGGGCCACAGTCTTGAATATCCCCATCGACCAGATCAGCAAAGACGATAGCTTCTTCAGACTTGGCGGTGATTCAGTCGACGCCATGAAGCTTGTTCCCGCGGCGAGGGCAGAAGGCCTTGTCATTACCGTCATGGGCATCTTCAGCAACCCAGTCCTGTCAGACATGGCAATGTCTTGCAAACACTCGGACGAAGCTCGAGTGTCAATTGTAGACCCGTTCTCACTTCTTTCAGACATTGAAGACCCTTCACTGCTTCTGCATGAGATCGCTGGTCGATGCAAGGTGCAGGAGAGCCACATTCTGGACATCTACCCGTGCAGCCCCCTTCAAGATGGTCTTGTTGCCTCTACTTTGCAGCAACCAGGCGCATATGTCGCTACTTATGTGTTCCAACTTCCCCTCGACATCTCCATGGATCGTTTTAAGCTCGCTTGGCAAAAGACCGTTGATCGAGTTGAAATCTTGAGAACGCGTATCGTGAACACATCACTCAAATCCTACCAAGCCGTTCTTGCTCCTCATGGCATTGAGTGGGAGCATCATGACGACCTTGAGTATGCTACAGCCAAGGCCGGATCGGTACCTGATCACAATGGTGGAGTCTTGGCCCGCTACAGTATTGTCGAGGCGCCTGATGATGGGCCTTATCACTTTGTCTGGGTTGTTCATCACGCGCTATACGACGCATGGAGTATGCCTTCTCTGCTCAAGCTAGTGTCTCAGTTCTACCATGGAGACACTGCTGATGAGCACGCGGTGGAATACGCGAAATTTATCAGGTACCTAGCCGACGTTGACACTGAAGCCTCCGACGAGTTCTGGAAGGCTAGGTTCCAAGACAGCGTTTCTGTAACCCACTTCCCCAAGGTCTCTTCGGCACCAACCGCGCAATCATACCATGAGTCTCTTACACATACGATCCAGTACAGTAAGAGTGATCTCGGAATGGACATCACGATCCCAACAATCGTCCGGGCAGCGTGGGCGCTTGTACTGGGGTCTCACACTGGCTCTGACGATGTCGTCTTCGGTGAGACGCTCTCTGGACGTGACATCGCCCTCGACCATGTACAAGACATCCTCGGACCGACATTAACCACGGTGCCATCACGAGTTCAGATCGATCGTAACAGTACCATTGGCGATCTGCTCAAGAGTCTGCATCACCAAGCCACGGACCTGATTCCCCATCAGCATGCAGGCCTCCAGCGCATCAGACGCCTTAGCGATGCCATATCAGTAGCCAGTGACTTCCAGAACTTGCTGGTTATACAATCATCCGACCACGAAACAGGCCAGAATGACTTTCTCAACCCAATCCAAGACGATGTCGGTCAGCGAGGCTTCTTCACATATCCACTTGTTGTCGAATGCTCCATCGAGGCGCACGAGCTAGTCATGACGATTCACCACGATAATAAGTTCATCTCTAGTTGGCAGGCGCAGCGCATCGCTCAGCAGTTCGAGGCTCTGGTGGGACAACTCACGGATCTATCACTCCGAGAACCCAAACAAAAAGTATCACAACTTCGGCTGTACAGCCAAGAGGATGTGGAGACGATCAAGAGATGGAACAGTAGTGTCCTCGAGCCTGCAATGCAAAGTATTCCTGACTTGTTCTGGCAGTCAGTAGCAACCAACGGTAACGACACCGCTATTCGCGCCTGGGATGGTCAACTCAGCTACAATGATCTTGCCAAACATGCCTCGCACTTCGCCAGGACACTAGTGCAAAAGGGTGTACGCGCCGACGAACTGGTCCCATGCTGTATGGACAAGTCTCTGTGGACGACAGTCTCGATGCTTGCTGTGATCCTCGCTGGAGGCGCCATCGTTCCCATGGATCCTGCACACCCTTCTGCTCGCCACGCCGAGATCACACGCGACTGCAGGGCCCGTGTTGCGTTGTGCGCACCGCCGTATCAGGAGCGCTTTCAGGGCCTCGTCGAATCTGTTGTCTTGGTCAATTCTGACCTGTTCACTGCCCCAGAACTTTGCACGCAGGATCTGCCAGTCGTCGCGCCTCGAGATGCCGCCTTTGTCATCTACACCTCGGGCAGTACTGGAAAGCCTAAAGGCGTTGTCATTGAACACGGCTCTTTTGTCACAAGTTCCAGGGCTTTCATGGAACGCATGAACATGGGTCCGGATTCGGGTGTACTGCATTTTGCATCCTATGCGTTTGACATTGCCATGGGGGAGACATTCGCTCCACTCACTATCGGTGCCTGTGTCTGTATCGCCAGCGAAGAGATGAGAATGACAGATCTTGCTGGATCCATGAACTCCCTCGCTGTCACTTGGGCATTCCTAACGCCCTCGGTCGCAAATCTCCAGGACCCCTCCAAATTCACCACATTGCAAACCCTGGTCTGTGGAGGCGAGACTCTTACACCTGAAACTATTAGTGCCTGGGGAGACAAGGTCGAGCTGGTGAATGGCTACGGGCCAGCTGAGTGTTCTATATTTGCGGTTGCAAACAGTTCTGTTTCTACTACCAACGCCAACATCGGTCACGCCATGGACGGAAACCACACTTGGGTCGTCGATCCGAGAGATCACAACTCTCTTGTCCCTGTAGGATGTGTTGGAGAACTTCTCATCAGTGGTCCCATCGTGGCCCGCGGGTACCTGAACGACAGAGAACGGACGGCGGCATCGTTCATTGAGAATCCATCGTGGATGGACGTCTTCAGCAACGAGTCTGTGCGTTTGTACAAGACAGGCGACTTGGTCAGATATTGTCCTGATGGATCCCTCATGTATCTAGGGCGTAAGGACCACCAAGTCAAGCTTCATGGCCAGCGCATGGAGCTCGGTGAGATTGAGACTCGTCTTGAGTCTGACCCGCGCATTCGCCAGGTCTTGGTCAACCTTCCGCAGTCTGGCATCTTCAAGGGCCGCCTCGTTGCCATCACCTCTCTCGAGGATCTCTCACCCACCGAAGTATCTCTTACCACGTCTGGCTTTGTCCCCATCCCAGAATCAGCCATGGAAACTGCCCGAACACAGATCTGCGCGATGCAACACGATCTGGCCGCCACGCTTCCACCTTACATGATACCATCAGTTTGGCTCGCTGTCCAAGCCATTCCTCTCTTACTGTCTGGAAAGCTTGACAGATCGAGCGCAATCAGTTGGCTTGCTGATTCAGAGGCGGACTTCTGCAAGGTTGCTGTCGACTTGGATCATGGCCAAGATGCGGCGGACGCGGTGATGACACCAGTTAGCCAACAGCTCAGGCGCATCTGGGCGTCAATCCTCAACATTCCAGAGACAGAAACTCCTATGAACCGCTCTCTCATTTCCCTTGGCGGTGACTCCATCATGGCGATTCAGATGCTGACACGCTGTCACGACCAGTCTCTTTCATTGACCTTGCAGGATATCATGAGAGCTAAGGGAATCTCCGAGTTGTCTACCTTTGTGGCCTCTAAAGAGCCCCAAGTGCTCGACCACTACGACGAAGACGACGATCAAGCATTCGAGCTGTCTCCGATCCAACGCCTCTTCTTCAACAACAGCGCTAATAAGGACCGTGGGGATCGTTTTAACCAAAGTCAACTCCTGTCCATCAACAAGACTCTCGAGGTGTCCAGCCTTCAAGATGCCCTTGATGCTCTTGTTGAAAGACACCCAATGCTTCGCGCGCGGTTCAACAAATCTCCCACTGGGGAGTGGACACAGCATATCGTCTCACATGCTCAAGGTTCCTATGGCTTTCAGCACCATGAGCTCGCTGCAGAGCCTGACATGATACCAATCGTAGCCGCCAGCCAAAGAAGCATCGATGTTTCTGGTCCTGTTTTTGCCGTCGATCTATTAACACTATCTCATGGCACTCAGGTACTCTCACTTGTAGCACACCATCTCGTCATTGACATCATTTCTTGGATTAACATCATCCACGACCTCGAAGCACTACTGACCTCTACCTACTTGCCGCCCATCAACCCCCTCTCGTTCCGCAGATGGAATGCTCTACAGATTGAACACGTCAATTCTCTCGACAATGGTGCAACACTTCTTCCATTCGCTGTACGACCTGCTGACATGGATTTCTGGGGGATGTCAAACACTCCCAACGTCTACGGAGACATGGAACAAAAATCGTTCGTCATCACAGAAGCTGATGTCGTATCCTCCATATTAGGTGGTTCACACAGAGCCCTCAAGACCGAACCACTCGATCTCTTCATCACAGCCATTCTCAAATCCTTTGCACAGACCTTCGATAGTCGGGAGCTACCAACACTGTTCAACGAGAGTCATGGCCGTGAACCCTGGGATCAAACCATTGATCCTTCCCAAACCGTCGGATGGTTCACATCACTCTGCCCTTTGCAAGTATCACGACAGAGTCTCGAACACGGCGATCAAGTGGACCATGTTCGTAAGGTCAAGGATGTCCGCCGGAGTATCCCCAATAATGGCCGCCCGTACTTTGCCCACCGCCATCTCACCAGCTCAGGAAGCCTGCATGATGGACCCATGGAGATTTTGCTGAACTACCTTGGTCACACTCAACAAACTAACCACGGCGATTCTCTCTTCACTGCCGTTGACTTTCCATTCACTGAGCAAGACACTCTGGCTATCTCCGACGTCGCACCCGAGACATCGCGCCTTGCTCTCTTCGAGATTTCCCTATCTATTCTTGATGAGGGAATTAGCTTCACCCTGATGTACAACCAACACATGCTTCACCAAGAAGGTATCGACAAGTGGGTGACCAACTGCAAGGAGACGCTCATGGACACTACGAGAAGGCTTGCCGAGACCTCTTCTGCTCCAACACTCAGCGACTTCCCTCTCTTGCCCATTAGCTACACGGATCTGCACGAAATCATCTCTACACACCTTCCCAACGCTCACGTTCCTTTCGATATGGTGGAGGATATGTACCCGTGTTCGCCTATGCAGACTGGCATATTACTCAGCCAGCTTCTAGACCCATCGCAGTACCTGTTCCACGTTGTTCTTCAACTTAATCTTCCCGACGGCTCTGCAATCGACACTGCAAAACTCGTCCAGGCCTGTCATCGAGTCATAGAGCGTCATCCAGCATTGCGAACCATCTTCATTGACAGTCTACGTCAAGGCGGCTCATTCGATCAAGTCGTTTTGAAGCCTTTCGAGTCTCGCATCAGCACCATCAAGTGTCGGGAGATCGATGTTATGGCTGAATTGAACTCCAAGTCACTCGATGAGACCAACAAAAGACACGATGGCCCTATGCTCCCATATCAGATCACCATCTGCGAGACGCCGCAAGGAAAGGTTTTCATGAAGCTTGAGCTGAACCACGCAGTTACCGATGGTGCTTCCACATCAATCCTCCTCCGAGACATCTCCAACGCCTACACCGACAGCTTATCTCCAACTCCAGCTCCTGGCTATAAGGAATACATCGAATACATTTCCAGTCAATCTACCGCTTCTAGCCTGAACTTTTGGACAGGCTATCTTTGGGAGTCACAACACACAGGATTTCCGACACTCAATGCAGACTTAGTAGCCAACCGCCGCCTACAATCTGTCGCGGTCCAGTTCGACCGCTTCCCAGAACTACAATCACTCGGCTCCAAGCTCGGGGTGACATTCTCAAACATCATCATGGTGGCATGGGCCCTGTTACTTGGAGCCTATACAGATCGCCAAGATGTATGCTTTGGCTATCTAGCCTCCGGACGTGATGCCCGTATCGATGGCGTCGATGGTATCGTCGGTCCTCTCATCAACATGCTTGTGTTCCGCTTCCAGTTCACGACTGAGACACTTCTCAAGACACTCTTATTCACCGCTCGAGATGATTATATGGCCAGTCTGCCGCACCAACACTTCTCTCTGGCTCGTGTGAGCCATACCCTGGGCCAGTCGAAGCGGGGCTTCTTCAACACAGCTGTGTCCATCCAGAACGCTGGCGCAACAACTGTCTCCGAGCCCGACTCGCTTACTTACGAAGCACTCAATGCCTACGACCCAAGCGAATACGCCGTCACTGTCAACGCCAATGCTACACGAGGTGACGAAGGCATTCTCTTCCGCTACTGGTCCAACATACTATCCAGTTCGCAGGCCCAGGACCTTGCCGTGAACATGTCCGAGCTACTAAACAGTTTCATCGATCACAGCGACGACACCTTGGCTCACCTTCGATTACTACAGAGCTCACCGGTGGCTCGCAATACATACGCCCAATCATCTGACGTTGATGGCTCGATGTCCGAACATGACGAGACGAACCACCTCCCCAAAGCACAAAGCTCAGGAATCAGTGCATCATCGACTTTGATTGACGTCGGCGACGCAGCATCTATGTCATCCAACATGTGCAACTCATTCTCCCGCGATAGGAAGTATCTCCATAACAAACTATCCGCACTATGGAGAGACAGTCTCGAGTATCAAGGTTGCGCAATCTCGCCTACCGACAATTTCTTTGAGTCCGGCGGTGACTCGATTATCGCCATGTCCATGGTAGGCAACGCCAGAGACTTGGACTTGCCACTCACTGTGGCTGATATCTTTAAGAATCCCGAGTTCGGTTCCTTGTTGGATTGCCTCAATGACAAGTCGTACAAGGATAGCGACAGGGCTTCTAGCCCTGACCACATGGATACCTCCACTTCTAAGAAAGAGAAGCACATCACCAGTGACCAGCCTTACAAACCCCTCTCTATGCTTGAAGCAAATGATGCTGAGCAGTTCGTTCGAAGCCATGTCTGTCCTGTTCTCGGCGTGTCTCGAGCCAGCATCATCGACGTCCTCCCCACTACCGACTTTCAAGATCAGGCCATCCACGGAAGTCTTCTGAAATCACGATGGCAGCTCAATTATTTCCATCTCGACTCTTCAGGCCCGCTTGACATGGCATTACTACAAGAAGCTATCACAAACGTTGTGGCCGCTTACGACATCTTGCGCACTTTGTTTGTCTCTCATCAAGGCCGTTACTTGCAGGTCATCCTCCGCCACGTGCAACCCACTGTTATTGTTGAAGATGTGGAGAGCATAGAGCAATTCACTTCTGAGCTTCAAAAGGCACATCAGCACGAGGTTCCGCGTCCTCAAGAACCGTCCCTTCGCTTCATAGTAGCACGGCACAAGTCATCGGAACGGCACCGGGTCTTCATCCGCATATCTCACGCGCAGTACGACGGCGTGTGCTTCCCGACAATCCTACAGAGTTTGAAGGCCTCATTTGATGGAGAGCCAATCAATACCGCACCTTCTTTCGCGAGCTATATCCAGAGGGTGTTGGGGGTAAACAGACAGGGATGCTACTCGTACTGGACAACGCTTCTGAAGGACTCTACCCCCACTAATATCATCCAGCGAGAGCATGCTGCCTTTAAGACAAGCCCTACTCAAGTCTTGAGCAAGGTTGTGTCTACACCCTCACTCGCGTCAGTCAACATCACAACCTCAACTGTTATCAAAGCTGCCTGGTCAACCGTGCTGGCAAAGGCCACAGGGAAGACTGACGTTATCTTCGGCAATGTCATCAGCGGACGGAACGCCAGCAACATACCTGGGATCCAAACCATTGTCGGTCCTTGTCTGAACGTCGTTCCCGTACGTGTTCGCCAACAATCCTATTGGACTGTTCTTGATCTCCTTCAAAACGTACAGGACCAGCAGGTGGACAATATGCCGTATGAGACACTGGGTTTCGGAGAGATTATTAACAAGTGCACTGACTGGGATGATGATGGAGTCAATGGCTTCTCTACTGTTGTTCAGCATCAGAGCATGCCGCGTACAGAGAGTTTCGCAATGGGGGGGAACATGTATCAGGTTGGTGTGATGGGTTCGGAGGAAGACTGCGCTGATATGAGTGTTGTGACGACGCCTCAAAATGTCGACAGCACTGAAGTATGTTTGGTTTACAATGGGAACGGAGATGTAAGCAAGGAAATGGCGGAACAGATGTTTGAAAGTCTCTGTGATAGGATTTCAGTATTCTCGCAGGATCCCTATAGAGTTCTAGCATAATATAGTATAGTATAAGTCGTTGAAACGGGGTATCAGTCAACGGCATTACTGTATAGTCTTTTGGTATTTAATGTATTGCGTTTACAACGCCCGATTTGAACCCAGTTCTGTATGAGCGAATCTTTTACGAGGATAAGCAAATGCCAAGGCCAAAATCAGAACGATGACAACAGATACGACTACAGATATGTAGATCATATTACCAAGCTCAACAGGTAAGGGCGCAGGAGGCAGGTCTTATCAAACCCCCGTTATTACCTTACAGTTCAGTAGTGTATCGGTGGTGCAATCTCTCAGACGTGCAAGCACGTATTGATCGGCCTGATAAATTATCCTAACGCAATACATTCCGCCTAAACTTCCATGATCTAGCTCGTATAACATAATAATCACTGTAAATGCCGATTGGCGTTGTTATCAGCATTGATGTCAAGCCCGCTAGCATCCACCAAATGTTTCAGCCGTGGCTTCTCAACGTGGTGGGTAATTGAATACACAAGACGTTAACGTCAACTAGAGCCAGATTTTTATACGGGGAAACTTAATTAAATATTTTAGTATTACTTATATATCTGGTAATTAGTTCAAACCGCAATATCTTCCTATCTTATTACTTTAATGCAAAATTCGTTACACACTAATGACGACATATTTACCTATCCTGGCTAAAGCGGGATCTTTTTTCCGACCCCCAGTGCTAAGCAAGTAAACTCGTTTCCCCGCGTTCTTCTCCTTTCTCTTCAATACATCATCTTGTAATCGATAATTGTTTATAATCTCGAGCAGGCAAAGATATTGAAATCTAAGGTTAATCCATTGATAGTCGACAAGGAGATTCCAGTACAATAAGGCTGACATATTCTAGAACAAAATATTATCACCATGCCTCACTTTAGCTTCTTAGGAGAGACCTCGACTTCGGCCGACACTATCATTCAGATGTTAAATGAAGATAGCCAGACTCTGCAAGACGAAATGACAAAGAACTGGCGTGACCATAAGCTGCAGGAACTGAACTTTGTCGGAACGCTTGTAGGTGACTTCTAAATCCCTTCCTCCAGAACCCACTCACTGAAGTTCTAAACAGGGCGCTCTTCTCGCAAGTTGTCTTAGCACAACAGGTTCCTGGCCAGATGTCCTCCCCAACGGCCGCAACAAGCCCTGGTCAGTGCGAACGATGTGGTTCAGCGGCCTCGTGTTTGCCCTCTTTTCGGTAGTGATTGCAGGCGTTCAGAGCATGAGACTACACCGCCTGTCTGCTCATCCCGACGGCCTCAGCTTGATCCGAAACAGCCTTGGTCGAAAACGGAAATCTGGCAATGGTTCTCGGCCTAGCTGGCTGCAGGTATACGCATGGGAATTCAGCCTTGCGTTTTTGGTCTTGGCCATATTTTGCATGGTGATCGGCTTAACCATTCTGCTATGGGCTGGCACTGAGTTCGGGCCTTCAAAGTCTAGAGAGGATGGCTGGTGGGATGGCAACTCCAAGGTAGATGATGCTCTCTCTGTCATTATATTTTACTAACGTCAGCGCGTTTTAGATGGCGGTGACCTTCACAATCGTCCTCGGATTTGCATCGTTAATCTTGGTCTTATCACAGTCTGCTCTATCAAAAGGTAATCCAATCAGGCTATAATAACTAAGTTCCGGCGGTCTGTCGGCTATGGGAAAGGTCCAAGGAAACTCATCCAGATTCAACAGGCTGGTTCGGCTGCTAAATTTTGCAGCAGAATAGTTAAATTCTAGTGCCTGTAAAAGTCAGAAGCAAGAGCTACAAAGTAACCAGAGAGTTCTTCTTGATATTATTTACTTAGTAATATTAAAGAGAGTCTTGCTATAGATCTTTTCCACTGTTGATGTCTTCTGCCTTCTCAGTACCTCGATCCGAGAGTCCAATCCATGTTATCTTTCCCACAGCTCAGGTAAGGAATAGTATAAGCATAAAATGCGAGGCATTTAAGCGGCGCTGTGCTAGAGACAAGAGCCGCAATTGAGTTAGATGATAAGCAAATGATAGAAGGTCCAGTCCGAAGCGCGCTATAATCAAATTGGGACCAAGAGTCGCCTACCGGCCGGACCTAACCGGACCGGATACTGTCGGCCGAGACAACATCTACGGCCGGGCATCATGATCGGAGTTAATGGCCGAGAAATTGTGGGGAAAGGAAATCCCGGCCGACACTAATCAATATCCCATGAGAGACAGAGACAGCACTGCTTTTCCGGAATTTCCTCATTTTCATCCATAAATATCTGTTACAAGACCGCAAGAAGCTCAAAAGGTAAGATATTACTAGACTGTCGATTTGATTACGTTCTTCTTCTATCTACATCATTTATTAATCTTGCAACACAAGAAGCTGATCAAAATGGACGGACGCAAGCTCGTGCTTGTGACAGGTGCCAACACTGGTCTCGGTTTCCAAATCGTCAAGGCACTTTGCAGCTCTGATACAGGGTATGAGGTCTTGGTTGGAGGTAGATCCCTTCAAAAGGCTGAGCAAGCCGTCAAGAACCTCCAGGAAGAGCTTCCCTCCAGCTACCTTCATCCAATTCAACTTGATATCGAAGATGATATCTCTATTGCCTCTGCATTTGAATACATCAATGCTCAGTACGGGAAACTTGATGCTCTTATCAATAACGCAGGTAAGTTGTACCCACTTCAAAGATATCTTTTACAATTCTGACTTGTCTGCGAATCGCAGGTACCCAACTCGATCAACAGTTAGCTGCGGGCAAGATGTTCGCTAGGGAAATGTGGAATAGAACGTATGATGTGAACGTGACCGGGACCCATATCTTGACTTGGACCTTGGCCCCATTGCTTCTCAAGTCAAGCGATCCCCGCCTCATGTTCATCGCCAGCGGTACATCCTCTCTTGCCGGGTCTGAAAGCCCCGACTTGCCCATCAATAAGCAGCCAAGCGAGGGCTGGCCAAAGGCCTTGAATAACTTCAATTTGCCCGCATACCGAAGCAGTAAGACTGCAATGAACATGATGATGAGGTATGATATAACCTGGTCAGCATGGAAGAATAGAGCTAACGTAAGAGTTAGGGAGTGGTTCCGGCTTCTTGGCCAGGATGGCGTCAAGGTATGGGCTATCAGCCCTGGATACCTGGCAACCGGTCTCGGTGTTGGCCAAGAGCAGAACAAGACACAAGGTGCAATTGATCCTTCCATTGGAGCCGCGATTGTTAGAGATGTTTTGGAAGGGGTGAGGGATAAGGAGGTTGGCAAAGTTGTATCAAGGCAAGGCGTTCAGCCTTGGTAGGGTTCGATTTACAGCCACAGGTGAAGCCAAGGCTGCTGCTAGATACTGAGCTTAAATAACATATGACAACACCAAGATCAATCTCATTATGTCTCTTTTGTATACTATAATTAGGATCTTGCTAAATTTAGCATGATGATAAGATCCATTGTGTTCCATATTAACCTTCTGTCCCTTGAGGATTATCCTCTTTTACCATTCAGTTCTTATAGCATTACGAAGACCCTCTACCCTTAAGAGAAGTATATTCTGCTTATCACGCTGTATGAGATTGAGTTATTGTACAATAGCAGGGTCTGGAAGGTTGTAAACAGTTGGTTTCTAAGGCCGAAAGGGCCAGAAGTTCGTATGACTAGGAGCGTCCCTTGTTTTAACACTACAATTAACGATCAACATGAAAGTTTGTTAACATAACCTTGCTTGTCTACTGTAACATCTCGCACTGAGCAATTAAGCGGTCAAGCCTTGAGTGTTCGGAGATACAGAACAACAAAGGACTACTACGCCCTCCTACCTAATGCTTTGTTAGTTGCTCCGTACTCCGTAACGCGCGCTCGGTTGTCGCGCCTTGTTATCTCCGCTCCAAAACTTTAATCTAATCGCCCCGGGCTTTCTCCCGGGAAGGCTAGTCAGCTAGGTTCAAACAGGCTAGATGTGAGGTATCAGTACGTTAGATGATATTGTCGGGAAATGAAGAACCCTCGGCATACAAATCAGCCCGCCGATATTTGAGACAGTCCGCTCCCACGCGGCGAAGAGGGCTTGATCCTCCGGGCAGAGGCTACTAAGATCGTAGAGCACCACGGTCAAGACAATATAAATACACTACTCCAAGATCTATCTCTTCTTTTCCCCATCGTTCACAATCAACAAAGTCTACCATCCAATCAACAACCATCATGTCTGTCCAAACATCAAATTCCATTTTTCTGTCCGCTCAGGGCAAGCTCCTCGTCCAGCCTGTGACAGAAAAGTACACAGTTGAGGGCTCCCAATGCCTTGTCCGTGTCGACTATTCAGCCATCAACCTCTGCGATTACAACTTCTTCTACATGGGACTTAATTCCTTCATCACCGGATTCGAGATGTCCGGTACTGTCGAGCAAACGGGCCCCGACTCACGATTCCAAGTCGGAGATACCGTCTTCGGAATCTCACCCGTCGTCATTCCAATGCCATCCTCGCACGGAACCCACCAGGACTTGGTAGTCGCGAGGTCTGAGCTGCTCTTTAAGATCCCAGCCGGTATATCAGCAAAAGATGCCAGTGTGGTCTGCATGCCGGCACAAACGGCGGCAGATGCCTTGTTCAATGTCATTGGATTGGGGATTCCAGCCGCTGGCGTCGCTGGCATTGACCCTGTTGGCAAGGGAATTCTCATCTGGGGCGGCGCGAGTAGCGTTGGAATGATGGCCATTCAATTAGCCAAGGCGGCTGGGCTCCAACATATCTTTGCAACAGCCTCAGCTAAGAACCATGACATCCTTCGAGAGTTGGGAGCCACCCACTGCTTCGACTACAGGAGCCGCAACGTGGTTGAAGATATTCAGCAGGCTCAGAAGACGCTCGGGATTGTTTTAACCTTGGCCTTCGATACTGTAGGCAAAGGAGTCGTGGGTCCTGCTGATGCTGGCAGCCCTAGCACTCCTGAGCTTACGAAGAGTGTATTGGGCGCCTCTGAGAGTCTTCGCCTAGCCTGTACGCTCCCGGTCCGCCAAGACCCTACCTTCGGTATGTGCACGTCATATCGGCCAAGCGGCAGTATGAACGCCATGGGCGCACCTCAAGATCCGGATTCAGCTATCCGTATACGCAGGATTATGGAAAATATGCTGGCTGCAAAAGATGGATGCTTGAGACTGCCTGTTGTCACAGTTGTAACGGGTGCTGAGGCTGGTATCGAGGCAATCCGACGTGTTGCCGGTGGGGAAATGAGCATGGAAAAGCTAACGCTAAAGCATCCACTAGAATAGTTGCAGCGGTATGACTATACAAGATGGGACTCATGGCTGCTTGAACAAAGGATAGATAAAAATAAGCCTTTGTTTGATTTTATTTGACTGCTTTTACCTTTATTTTATAAGTTTATACTTCACTATGGAGTAGCCTTTCAAGTGGTTCCGAGGTACATTTAGTGGAAATGCACTGCGGACTTGACCCATCTAGTCTAGTCGAGCACTAATCCTATCAAGGTTTAGCTCGTAAAGAGGCACGCATTAACCTAAAGGCCCCTCATAAAAGTCTTTGCTCTAGGCCCTGATCTGTATTGAAAGTTCTAACTAAATAGAAGGTTAGCTGTAGGGACAAAAGGTATATCGTTAGCATGGCATAATTGCTAGGTACCAAAGGTTACCCTTGTCTTTAAGTTATAAAAAGCTAGGTTATATAACTAGACTAGCTTAATTAAAGTAACTAATTAGGTACAGGTTAGGGAGGGTCCTGGCAGTCTTAGGCTATAGCCTTATTAGCCTGCCGATTTTATTTAGTAACTTAGCCTAATGTATATTTCCAGAAGTGTACATTTAAGGGAAGGTTTTTTATATAGAAAAGTGACCTTTTTTAGGTACCTTCTTGGCAACTTTTCTATAATAGGTTTACGGTTAAATAGGTATATTGTAAAAGTCTGTATAATTCGATACTTATTATATTAGGTTAGACCTCTGATTTTGCTTACTAATGGTGGCCTAATTAGGCCTAGCGCCCCTTCTGTCCCCACAGCTAACCTTCTGTTCAGTTGGAACTTTCAATACAGATCAGGGCCCTATTCGTTCCAGGAGTACAATTTGTCCTGAATCAACCATGAGGTCCGCATCTAGGCTGAGAAAACACAGGGAGCGGCTGGCTTGTGCAGCATGTCGGAAGAGGAAGCTCAATTGTGACCGCGAAAGTCCCTGTAGCAGCTGTGTTCGCAGGAGAGATGCTACATCCTGTTCATACGAAGTTTCCATCGATGACCCGAACAGCGACCGTCTCCGCGACACACAGGCCCAAGCGCGTCTTGAACATCTAGAGCATCTCGTCGGGCTACTTGCTGAACAACCGTCAGCTACCACTATTGGAGTTCAAAATGACACTCCGGCTGCTGAGTTGCCGTTGGATATGGACACTGGGGAACACACAATCGCATCGTCGTCTTCTCGCTCCGACCAGGCTGTAAGCGGTACAACACATTGGTCAGCTATGCTGGATGATATACAAGCTCTCAGGTCTACGCTAAATCCTCTTGAGGGCAATGACATAGATGAAGGAGACACAAGTGCTCCTCAGGCAGACGTTGGAATGGGAATGGACGTCATGTTCGGCGCTGGCCTTTCACAAGCCATCAGTATCGAACAAGTACTTAGTACTTATCTTCCATCGCGAAGGAGCACCGATCGCCTCGTATCCGCATATTTCCGCGTTCGGTTGTACATCACGCCATACATACATTCAGTGCAATTTCAGAGGCAGTACGAGGCTTTCTGGAGCGATCCTGGCGCAGCCTCGCCACTTTGGATATCCATCCTGTTTTCAATGCTGTTCATCTCCGCTAACATTTCGCGAACGGGCAAAGAAAACGAAATACCAGGACATGGATTTGCAGTTGCTGCCGCCCAGTGTCTTGCTCTGGGCGAGTATTTCCGTCCTAAGGCCTTCTGCTTTGAGGCACTCCTGCTTTATCTCCATTCACGCTTCATCACTTGTCTCGAAATACATCCGGATATGGGTGCTCTTCTTAGTGTGCTTGCCCACATTGCCACGGTCTCAGGCTATCACAGAGAGAGTAGCGTCCTGAGTCTGAGTCCCTTCGCAGCAGAGATGCGACGCAGGGCATGGAGTATGTTCATGCAGCTTGATCTTCTGGTATCATTCCATCTGAGTGTTCCGTCGAGAATCAGCTTAGCAGTCTCAGACACATAAGCTCCAAGCAATCTTCTCGACTCTGATTTTGATGAAGACAGCCCTCGACTGCCCTCCTCACGACTGGACTCTGAGCTGACGAATGTGACATTTTGCATTCTCAAGCACAAATTCATGAAGATATTTGACAAGATTCTTCAACATGCGCTAGTAAATCCTTCACACGAGGGAATAGACGCTCGCATTGACTCTTTGGATGCTGAACTCAAGCATTTACACGGAAGCCTGCCGGAATTATATCGACCTCGCCCAATCGAGAATTGTATAATCGACCCTCCTCAACTTATCGTCGCTCGCCTTTGTATCTCTTTTGTATACTACAAAAGTCTATGTGTTCTTCATCGTCCACATGTAACTAAGCATCGAGATAAGAGCATTCGAGAATGCTATTCGGCTTCATATGCCCTGGTAACTGACCTTCTACAAGCCTATGAGGAGTGCAAGCCTGGAGGACAGCTGGAGACTGAGGAGTGGTTCATGAAGAGTATCACCTGGCATGATTTCTTACTCGGCGTAACCACATTGTGTCTTGTGGCCTACGCAGCAAACCAGATCACGGAGGGATTTCATATTGACCAACTTGGTGTACAGCTTCTGTTGGAAAGAGTCAGAACAATGATTCAAACTGAAAAATCGGAAGATGGAGTAAGGGCTCGATCCAGAGTTTTATCAATAGTGGAAGCTACGATCTCTCGTTTAAGGGCACAACAAAACAGCGAAGGCATGCAACTAATAGCCAACACGCAGATGTTACCACCCGCCAGCACTATACTAGCATCGCCAAGTGGAACTGAGGGAAGTGGGCGGAAACAGGGGGAGGCCCAGCTACAACACGAAACTAACTGGGACTATCTCGACGAGCTATTCGATACCTCTCATCATGAGATATTTACTAGATCGGAAGTATAAGTTCGTTGCCAATCTCCTATGAAATTGAGATTAAACTATAATTATAAAAGAGTCATTTGGAGGTCTAGACAAAAAATGGCTCAATTCCCTGATACAATGTACTTCAGCCACGACTCTAAATGAGCAATGGCACACGCAGCTCCAGGCTCGTCAATAGACGCTGGATCCTCAAAAACACTCCTCATGCCCTCTCCAACGTGGCGAAGCTTGTTTGCCACACCCTGCATCTCTTCCAAGATATCCACAGCCTCCTCACCATGATATTTAAGGCTGGCCATTATATGTAAAAATAATGCTAGCGCTGCGTTATACTTGGTCGTACTATATACTTCCTTAAAGCAGGCTATGCGAGAAAAATGTGATATGGCGCTCGATCCTGGCGGGATAAGGTATGTATTGACCAGCGAAGTCAGTGATACAGTTGTTCGTTGTTTCGGGAGAGCTATAACGAATTTGCCAGGACGCTCTTGGCTAGAGGACGGAGACTCTTGTATAATCTCTTGAAACGTAGCATAAGCATATTCTGTCCCAAAATTAGTTCGTAAACGCAAGTCTTGCTCTATGAAATGACATAGAAGCCGCTTCCAAACCAGCTTCCGGATAGCCTCTGGTTTAACAACATTCATCGATGCTGCTAGCTGAACGAGAACAACGAACCCCTCAACTGGCTGCGATAGAACTGCCTTTAGATAGAATTTGTTTCCTAGGCATGCAAAGAAGGCGACCTGTTGCGGCGGAACCATATTGCTGAGTGCTGATGGAAGAGTGGTGACGAGCTTTGGGCTAGCGCTTTGGGGGACGTGGATCCCTGGTAGTCGAGAGAGTTCATCTCTGCACCACTTGAGAGTCTTTGAGCGTGCCAGACTAGGGACGTTTTCAATTTGAGTGCAGATGGTAGCGAGGAAGACAGACAAGACAGCACTATCGTGGAAGCGATGTCTAAAGACCTCTGTGAGTTTCTGCCTCCATAGCCTTCGGTTCTGCTTGTCTTGGAGCGATACAAGTGGAAGTGCCGCGGCGACCTGATAGCTAGTTTGAAGAGAGCTGACTTGCTTGTTCATCCTCAAGAGGAGGAATGCGCAGCCATCGCAGCATGTAAGTGGAAGAATGACGTCGACCTCTGGGCAATTCCCCAGCGCCAAGGGACACTTCACTTGGAGCCTTTGGTTGGGCAATGGAAGGTGTGGAGTTTTGTTGTCCTTGGGGCTTGATCGAAGAAGTAACGTTTGGATCGAATTCGGCTCTCGGCATATCGGACAGGTAGCGTACGCCTTTGACCGTGGGGCCTTTTCAAGCTTCCGAGTGCCATTGAAGCTGGAGAGAAACAATGTCTTGTCGACATCTTCCTTATCCACCTTGTTCGGTTGAACAGATGCCGCAAGGTTCTCGTTGTCTCTCTGTGCCTTTACTCCACTAGCGGGGTACCAAAAAGTGTCAGCTAGGGCGAGCCTTGAATCATCTCGCAAAGGACCATCGAGTATCCCTATCGCTGACTGGACCTCTTGTAAGCTTTTGGTGACACGCCTGAGTGCCGCGTGTTCCATCTCCACCTTGGCTTCGAAGCTGGCCCAATTTCTCTTGTTCTCAAATCTGAGTGATGCGCGATGAAAGTCTAGGTTGCTTGGACCGTGTATTTCCATGGCTCTGGACTCGGCGATAGATGCCAAACAAGACCAAATGTTTTTTTGGCGATTTGTTGCTGCTTTCAGCTCTTTCTCAGCTGCCATCAGTAGATATGTCATGGTTCTCATCCCTCGGGAGTTGATATCGTCTCTTTCCATCGACAGGCTGTCTCTCGTCGTTGTTCTGCGAAGGCTCTCAATCCACAGCTTGACCAAGAATCCTTCTCCTCTCGTTTTGGCAACTACCATTATCGCATCGAGGGCACAGTTGTTTGATACCAGTTGAAGCTTGGCGCGTTCGGACACGAGGTCGTTGTAGATGGACTTCATATCGAACACGTTGCCGTAAGGCAGGGCCACTTCATCTTTTGAGAGTTGAATTGCGTCTGGAACGCGAACCCTCAGCAGCCTATCGTAGGTCGTCTGGGGAAAGTCGGCCCATTTCGTTCCACTGAACCACTTGAAGTAAGACCCCTTCGGAAGCAAACTAGCGAAACAACCTTTGGCTTGAACGATGAATAGCTCATTACTCCATACGTCGTGGAAAAGCACCGCACAATGTGGTGATAGTGCACAGATAGACATGCCAATTGAGAATTTGCTTCGAGAAGGAGGACGAGACCTGTTTCCAAAGACAATTATGACAGATGGAGTGCCGTGTAATCCCGCTTCAGCAATGTTATTCGTAAAGGCATTGGCACGCTCCTCTTCAACTACACCATCTGTCATGAGGAACCAGATCTTTGACTCCTCAAGGCATCTTCGACCAAGATGGTTTTCGAAAATGCTCGATGGGTTTGATCCAACGCTATGTTTAAGGCTCCCAATCAGATTTGCAGGTACTGGGTCGTGAGCTTGACGATCCCAAGGTAAAATGTAAGACTGGTCTGCCAGCTCCTTGGGCTCAAGCTTCGAGGTTATATGTGAGATTGTGTTCTTTTGTTGCTCAAAGATTCTCTCGCTTGTACTCGAGACTTCCACAGCGAAGACAAGTGGAAGCTGCTGAAGCTGCGCTGATTTATGGATAGACATAGGTCGCGGTAGTCTACCGTCCGATCCGCCTGTAGGAGCATGCCCTGCCGTGTAACAGCCTTGTGAGTGGCTAGGTAAGGATGCAAAGGGCGCATCTGAAGCACCCTCGGAATGGTCCATCGGTTCTGGACGATGCGAAGTGGTTGTATCGAAGGTTACAGTTGGATAAGCACAGTCTTTCCCTGTTTGGTAGCACCCCAATAGCTGTTCTAAATTCGTTCTCTCGTCGTCGGGAATTTCTAGTGATGTCAAGGTTATCCTGCAAAGGTTGATGATGCACTGGGAGGCCGGTACCTACCGTCAATTTTGCTTTGCCGCAGAGACTATGAAGGATCGTTACGATTGTTAGATAGAAGCATAGCGATATCCCGTCAACAGCAGAAGGTGGTTGATCTTGGAGGGAGTATTGAAAGCTTTGGTTCTCAGTCGCCGAATATCTAGTAATTCTGAGCCTTTCCTTTTGCGAGATCGAGGACGCATGGGAATCGTAGGTTGCAGGAAGCTTCACCGGCTCTATTACGGCAAGTTTCACAACGGGGATAGCAGAAATTGTTTCTACCGTCGGTTGCAGGCTCCTTCAAGTGTCAGCTTGAGACAAAGATCACATACAGAATCACATTTCACAGCTGCAATGTAGCTGAGAAGGCATTGTCTTGATTGACCTTGCCTGATAATTTTAGTCACATTCCTGGGATCCTTGATCTAATTCAATGCCTCAGGAGAGGACACGTCAAATGAACTTTAAAGACAACTACTGAGTCGGAGTAGACGGTTGGTCCCTGAACGATGAGATGGAATGCTATAGCTCCACACATTGTCTCACTGCCTTGAGCGGGAGCGGTCCCTAGATCTGCAAAATTGGAAATCCGCCCTTGCATCTGCCACACCTGAACTGTCTAATTTAGCTCGTTTCAAAACGAAACAAGACTCTACTAATGACGCTTTCGATCGGCAGATGCCGAGGAAGCTGGAGAAATCACAATCATTATTCCATAACCTTGAACATTTGTGCTACCAAACAGCCAAAGAAACATCCCTGGTCCTTAGATCTGACTTATACCTACTATTGATATCCAAGGTTAAAGAGCACTAGGAGGTAAAAATAGAATTACAGCCCAGTATTTCAGAGCCTCTCGAATGAAGGAGATTACAGATGTAGTTCCCGCCGAATAGGTGTACGACTCGAGGGTCGCCTAGAATTCCTTGAACTATGTAGGCACGCACAGTGTGATGTAAGGATCCCGGCGACAGCCATTTGACTTAAATGAAGATCCACATACTTTTGGAGTTGCTTTCCCACGCACAGTACCGCGAAAGGGCGTCCGGGAAGAATTCAAGAGGTAAGAGGAAAGAATAAAAAGAGGTCGCTGAGGTCGCGTGACAGCCTCTACTCGGGGGTGCTGGCAGCCCGGGTTTTGCACATATCATCTGCAGAACCGCCTTTGCCAGGTGCATCTCCCAATATATAATCACCTGTAGGGAATGGGGTTGAGTCCTGGTGTGATTCCGCAACACTCAACCTTATCACAGCCGGTGTCCGCTGCCTTCCCAGTACCGCGATCCAAGAGTCCAATCCATGCTATCTCAGCCATAGTTTAGATAAGGACAGGTGCGTAGTACGGAAAGGCGGCCTATCTGGACGGCAATGTCTTAGGAACAAGAGCAACGGTTCAGATAACAAGTAAATGGTAGAAGCTCCAAGCGCAGACGCTAAAACGCGGGGAAGTGCACGAGTCGCTCCAGGTTTCCATATTGAGAAGTTCCTCAGATTACCCCGACTACGATAGCTTATCTTCCCTGGTGTGGCTGATATACATCTGGAAGAAGATTGGTCAATCTCACAACCACGGTAAACGTTAAAACCTTGCTATCGCTGTTAGCGTTCGCAGCCAAATCTAGACGCTCGGTAGTCGGAGGTAGATCTGGTTCACGTCGCCTGAACATTCTGTAATAGGGATAGTTTGTTTGACTTGAATGCTGCAGATAAGCCGATCTGCGATAGTGAACCTGAAGTTTGGAAGTTGACTGCGAGCGTCATGAGGCCATTTTAGAGCAGTGACGAAATGAACATATATATCCCTTGATATCCGCACCATCATCACTGCTATAGCTCAGTGTCAACAGATTTGAGTGACACCCAAAACCTTTGTTCTTACCCGATCTCACGTCATTTCTGCCATCATGGATGCCAAAAAGATTGAACTTGGCATCGCACCCGTGGAAAGCCACCGTCCTGGCTCTCTACTAGACACCGATAACAAACCGGTAGTCAATGAGTTGGTTGAGAAATACGGACAGACCCAACGTGGTCTAAAGCCCCGTCACGTACAACTCATGGCCATCGGTGGCTCAATCGGAACAGCACTATGGGTAGGCCAGCTATTTAATTCCATCCACAACAAAGGCTGACGAGAAGCAGGTCGGCATCGGAGGCTACCTAAGTCAAGCGGGACCCCTTTCTCTTCTACTGGGATACACATTCTGGGGTATTTTCTTCATCTGGCCCACGTACCTATGTGTAGCGGAAATGATGGCATATCTCCCCGTTCGCGGCTCCATCTTTGAACTTGCCTCTCGCTTCGTCGAGCCAGCTGTTGGCTTTAGCTTAGGCTGGACCTACTTCTTCGGGACGTGTATGCTTGTTTGTGTTGAGTATAGTGCAGTCGCCGCTGTGGCTGAGTACTGGGATAGTACCACTAATCCTGCTGTCTGGATAGCCGTTTCAATGGCTATCTGTATTTTTCTCAACGTTGTTGCTGTCAAGTAAGTATCCCAGTGCCCATTATTACATCAGAAATTAATCATTTAACAGGTGGTATGGCGAAGCCGAGTTTATTCTCGCTATAACCAAGGTCTTGTTGCTCATTCTCCTCGTCCTCATCACCATTGTAACGATGGCCGGTGGAAACCCCAAAGGTGATGCCTATGGGTTTCGGAACTGGAAGGACGGAGCCATGCATGAATATTACGCCAAAGGTCCCGCTGGGAAATTCCTCGGCTGGTGGTCTGTTGTTATCTATGCGGCATTTACGATCGCTGGACCTGACATGATCGCCCTCGCGGCCGGTGAGATCCAGAACCCGCGTAGGACTATCCCCCGAGTCGCGCGTATGATATTCTACCGTCTTGTCGGGTTTTATATCATCGGTGCCCTTTGTGTTGGCATTATATGCTCATCAAGAGATAAGAGGCTCATTAGCGCCATTGCGGACGGTTCATCTGGCGCTGCTGCTAGCCCTTGGGTAATTGGCATTCAGAATCTTGGAATTGGATTCTTGCCTCACTTTATTAACGCCCTTATCCTCGTGTCTGGGCTTTCTTGTGGCAACGCCTATCTTTTCGCTGCTAGTCGAACGCTATATGGCCTTGCCAGAGGTAAGCCTGATCCGCTCCTTATCGAAACTGACCGGACCACTGATAAGGCTTTTAGATCACCAAGCTCCCAAGTTTTTGATGAAATGTACCAAGACTGGAGTCCCAATCTACTCCACTGCGGCTGTCTCCTTGATCTCTTGCGTTACCTTTCTTGTGGCATCCAACTCTGCCATAGAGGTCTTCTTCTGGTTCGTTGACCTGACCACCACCGCGTTCATCGCTTCATACAGCTTTATGCTCCTTGCGTACATTGGATTCTACCGTGCTCGCAAAGCACAGGGTCTCGCTGACGAGTCACTCTCTTATGTCGCGCCTTATACACCATACACACCCATCATGGCGCTCGCCCTGGGATGTACGGCGATCTTCTTTGTAGGGTTCGATGTATTCAGCCCATTCAGTGTGCGAGGCTTCATCACCTCTTACTTCGCTGTTGCTTTCACTGCGGTTATGTATCTGATTGGCAAGATCAAGTATTGGCGAGAGGGTAAGGGCATCGTCAATCCGAAGGATGCAGACTTGATCACCGGTAAGGCTGAGATTGATGAGGAATGCAGGCACTGGGAAGAAGGCGGCATTGAGGAGGTTGAGAAGGCTAGACTCGCCGACATGACCTGGGCCAGGCGAGCCTGGGAGAGAATGTGGTAGTCGTGAGCTAGACAGCGCTGATGCGAAGTGCCTCTCAGCTGAAGATTACATTTTACACTTAGTCCCCTGAAACACTTAAGCAGGAGAGATTTTCTCATTGATCACCTATAGAAATCGACTAACTTTGCTGCCACCGAAACGCCATCCATTTTCATTGAGAAAATAATTACAAAGATATATGGGTTTCCTTGAGGCTTGTATATGGCCTATCCTTCACTACCTCATTCCCGGTTATGAATCTCTGCCAAGTCCTCTAAGAAAATACTGCAACCCATTCATCATTAACTGGGGAGAAGTTGTCAGTTTCGGGGGTCATAGTCAGCTTTTTACAGCCTTTCTTGAGAGAAACCTTGTTGAAGCGATCCTCAATCCACGAAAGGTAATACTGCTGTGAAGCAGGAAGAACAGGACCGTGACCAAGACCAGGGTATAGCCTGAACTCTGCTGTCGTCGAGCTAGCGAACGCTTTGCATGTTTCATTGAAAGCCTCTTCAGACGTGTCAGGATATACTATGGGATCTTCGGCGCCTTGGATCACAAGCATTGGAGCCGCTAGCTTATGAGGACCTGCACCATTGTATACTTTCTCCCATTTGATGAAATCGGGGTGTTCAATCCAGCTGGTGTTCTTGTAAAGTTGGCTGATAGTTAGGTTGCTGTAGAGGGTAGCCGAAGTGTAGAAACATCCTTGGTCGGCGAGAGGCATCCGGGCAAGAAGAATATCAGAAGCATAGTCCTCAACTTTGAGCGAGGGGTAGATCCTTGAAACTGTTTGCAGCATGAGAGAAGAAAGAAAGTCTCCAGCAGGGCCGCCATTTGCGGCACGGCGGATCGTTTCACCAATAATCTTGCTTGGGACAAGGCCGGGAGAAAGAGCAACAGCACCGAGAAGGCCGCCTACAGCCACAGTCTTTGCTTCTCGCTCATTGGTGCGCCAAGAAGACATTCCGCCTTCGCTGTGGCCTACAACAACCCACTCCTTTGTAATCTTGCTGCCGAGAGCCTTGCGTACAGCCTGGACGCTCAAGCTGGCATCTGCTGCGTGGAGAATACCAGCCTCGTACTGAAAGCCTTGAGCCTCGCTTCCCTGGCCTGCATAGTCAGGGGCAATAACGACGTAGCCTGCGAGGGCTAGGGCAAACGGAGCTGTCCACCCATAGAGTAATGCGCGATGGTTCGATGGTGAACATTGCCGTGTTCCGCCAGCTGTCCCGTGCGTCCAAACAACGGTACGGAATGGCTTGCTCCCCTGGGGATTGGTGTATGGAATAAGCACGATGCCCGTAGCTGGAAGGGGTTTCCCTTCAATATCCTCCGACATGTAGTAGAAACGGGTCAATGATATGCCGGCGGGGACAGTCCATCGCCGATAAGCCTGCTCAGCTGGAATCTTTTCCCATTTTAATATGTCCCCAGTCGAATATTTTGACACATTTGAGGGGGTTGAATAGAAGGGATCAAGGGTGATGTCTTGGTTAACCCAGCGTTCTTCTTCCATAGCTAGCACCTGTCGGTAGGCGATTTGGCAAGTGGCATCGCATCGATTTGGCTCATTGGCATAAGTGGGAGGGTTTTGAGGCGCTGCAAGAGCCCTTGCAATTAAGACAATGGGAAGGAGTTTGGATAACATGGTGCAGAGGAATGCTCAATGATCAGTGGGAGCCGGAGGAACAAGGGGACATTCGATGTACCTTCGGGATCCAAAATCCTCCGGCAGCAGGATTATTGCAGGTAAGTGTTGGATTTATACATGCTGTTGGCACTAGGAATATCCCTCAGCGTTGTGTGAAAGCTATGGAATGAGGCTAGAATGTGGCGGTTGTAGTGTCTTATTAGACGTTAAGCCACAGAATTCCAGGAACCACCACGTGAGAGATAAATAGTGACTGGAAGTTATTAGTTTATAACTTAGCATAAAGTATAATGCAATTGACTTTTACTACCTGACGATCTCTCTTAGCTCTTTGCTATATGGATAGTACTTATTACTAGAAGAAAGTAGCTCAGCCTCAAAGTGTATCTACCATTGAGGCATTTTCTAGTAGTAGCTAGTTCTGTTCCTCATCAGGGATCTTATTGACAAGCCTGGAACTAAGCGAGTAGCGCATAAACCACTACCTCGCTTGGAATGTTAGCAAACTCAATTCACAGCACGGTCTCAAAGGCTCTCACAACAAAGGAAATCGGCTACTACATTTAACCTGAACTCGTAAGGTCTCCAAGCAAAGGAGCTGTTTTATGATTGAGGGACTGAAAAACACTAGAATCAAGAGACTGTCGCTGCACGGTAATGCCATAGACAACCTAAGCAACATAGTATCTTGCTTAAAGATAATGAGAGATATGACACCTTATTAAATGAAACCGATGAAACTAGTCGCATCCAAAATGACTCAAAAGGCTACTGCTATTACCAGCGTCATACATACTTTCGTAGCGAAACATAGCGGTCTCTGTCACATGGATACGCCAGTACAACGGCGGCAGCGCGGTGGCAAGAGGCGGCTAGGGAGCAAGTTCTTGCCAACGAGTCAGATAAAACTACGCAGGTGACACAACCTTAGAACTAGAGCTCAGGCGTGGCCGCTTTTGTCGATTTCTTGAAGATTTAGGTATTCTCTTCCTTAATTCTTTTGGTGCACTTGGTATCTCACATTTCTCACTGGTACTGATGGGCCATGGCTGACTTCCGATCAACTGGCAATTCATCCAGAACCCTAAATATAGTGTGATTAATCTTGAGTTCTTAGCGTCAGGCTGCACTATTTCCCGCGTTACTTGTTCACTCTATGGTGAAATAGCCACTATCGTATGATTAGACTTTTCTTCACTATTAGCGTTTCCTCGAGTAAGTTGTTGCTGTCCATCCTGTGCCTACTAAGATGATTGACACGTCGCGGCTGATATTGCTGTACCTCGGGCAACAAATGGTGGGTTGACATCAGCTGATGTTCTGTCGTACTTCCCTAGCCTCGTCGAGGCAGTAACGCTATCTGATTTCCACTGCCAAGAGTTGGTCAGTCGGATTTACTTTCTTCCTCAATCCCGGAATATCACGTTAGAAGACTGATTTCTTTTTCATCGCTTCATCAATCAGATCCAGGACATATATGAGTTCGCACCAATGACCCTGTATCTGCATGCTGGAAGAGCTTCTCTATATCCTTAGTGGCTCCTGGATTACGCACTTGGACGTTCTGCAAAGAGAAAACATGGGTGGGTTTTGAGACGGCTTGGGGCAAGAGTCATTAGCATTTTGTTGCATAGTATTCAGTACGAGAACAAGAGTGTTGATCCAGGCTGGATTCGCGAACCTGTCCTATACTGTAGCAATTAAAATATTGCCTAGGCATGAGCAGTGTGTACGTACGTACCTCAGGTCAGTTGGCTGATAGATCCAAAGAGAAATAACGGGCGGTCATCATGAGAACGAGATACTTGCATTATATTAAACCACTGTAAGCCCAATACCGGTAGTTCTTTGAAGATTCGTCACTTCCGCGAGACCCGGAGTGAAACAGCCATCTAACGTTGCAGTGGAAAGCTTGTCAGCAATGCCGATCCAAGGAAGAGGCATGATGACATGTAAGAATTTAGTCCGACACAGCACACAGCCAATGAAGAGCGCCACATTCCGAACTTGCCAATCGGCTAATTGAGTGTCTGATCCTTTGATAAGACATGATAAATACCACGCAGTTCTCACTTTGCAACACTTCCATATTCTTTCCAAATCAGAAGGAGATCAGATGGGACACAAGCCAAAATGAAGCACGTCAGTGTCGCTATCATAGGCGCTGGTGAGTAATCGTGCGACATTTGGTACTGATCTCTAACGTGGCAAGGTCCAACGGGCATTTCCATGCTCAAGCAGCTTCTGCAAGATGGCTTCAGCGCAACTTTGTTCGAGAGACGTAGTTCTGTCGGGGGATTATGGGCATATGACGCAAACAATGGATGGACTACGGCATTAGCGTCCACGAGTGCGAATATCAGCAAGTATACTTGTGGATTTACCGATTTCCCAATACCAGACAGTAAGTCGGGTCCGAGTCTGCTGATGTACGTAATGACGCTGACTGGAAGCAGGGTATCCTGTATATCTGAGTGCAGCGAACTTTCAAGAGTTTATGCAGACTTATGCTGAGCACTTCAAACTCACAGAGCACATCTCGTTCAATAGTATTGTTCAAGCTGTCAACCGCAACAGCGACGATAGTGGATGGATAGTGCAGGTTGAGAAAATCGGGACTGGCGAAAAAGAGACTCGCCCTTTTGACAAGGTCGTTTTCTGTCATGGTTATCAGACTAAAAGAGTGATGCCGACATTTCCGGGACAGGATAAATTCGAAGGAGAGATTATACACTCACAGCAATACCGAAGGTCCGTGATACTCTGCTGCAGAATTCTTTGGCCCATACTAACCAGTACTTTAGTCCAGAAGCGTTCCAGGACAAAACAGTGGTGATCCTCGGCCTATCTACAACAACAGGCGAGATCACGCCACAAGTCATCGGCACAGCGAAAAAAGTCTACGTCTCTCATAGAAGCGGCCAAATGGTGGTCAAGCGTATGCGCAAAGGACGACCAACAGATTTGATGATATCGTGGAGACGCCGCCAAGTTACACAATGGATGGCAAAGAACATACCGAATTTCTACAGATACTTGGCAGGCTGGGGAGCCAGACTTCTCTCGTCCCAGTTCTCAGACGTGAAACTTGACCCAGAATGGCGAATTCAGTCATTTCGAAACCCGACGCTGCGATTACCGGGTCTTATCCAGGATATTGTTCCTCACCTGCAAGATGGGAGTTTGACGAGTTTGCATGGAATTAAACGATTCTTGGGCGGACGATCAATCGAGTTTGATGATGGGACTGTACTGGATGACGTGGACAGCATTATCTTGACTACAGGATACTGCGCCGACTTTTCAGTCGCTCCTGTCATCGAAAACAGTGTGCCAAAGTCACCGACTTATCATGGACCTGCCATTCAACGCCTATATATGAATGTCTTCCCTCCCAAGTACGCAGACAGCTGTGCCGTCCTTTGCTACTCAGCATATGGCAAGAACAACGGTTTCTCATTCAGCGATGTCATGAACATGGCCATTTCAAACATTTGGCGAGGCGTAAGCCAATTACCACCTTACCAAGAGATGGAGAAATGGGTAGATGACCATCAGAAATGGGTTGCAGCAAACTGGGCTCGCGAGCCGCATCTCGATGTGAGCATGGTCAAACAATATGAGTTCCAACCCTGGATGCACGAACAAGCTGGAACAGGTATGGAGAACCTTGGATGGGGATGGGCAGGGTGGAAGTTCTGGTGGAAGGATAGAGAGATGTATAACCTCATGAACCACGGTGTAGAGACAGCTCACATGTTTCGGTATTTTGAGACAGGCAAGAGAAACACGTGGGAGGGCGCGAGGGATGAGATTATCCGTCAGAATAGGATAGTCGAGGAGAGCTTTTCTGGGAAGAGTAAGAAGCTGAGGGAGGAATAGGTTACAGCCAAGACAGGAGACGTTTTCTAGAACGACAAGTCCTGCGTGTTGGGCCCGGCATTAGAGTCGGATGTAGGTGGCTATAGTTGGATGCGCTGGAATTATGACCGCATTTCATTTACATTCCCTGCACATAACGACCTTGCTTAAGCCCGGCGAACGGACCAGTTGCCTATATCCTGCAGCGCATAACTATTAGTCAGGAGAAAACGGTCGAGCTGCGGAATTGAACCTAGCCGCCGATCCCCGATGCAACGCCCCTGCAGCGGATGTTTCGATGGTTCTGGTTGGTGCATGTAACGACGTGCGGCTCAACGCCCCGGTTATGTGTCTGATCCCGCGGGAGTGGACCCCGGGCCAAGCTCTATGTTCGGGGATGGGCGGAAAGGCAGCTAGTGTGAACCGAGACTATGCCGATCGTGGTGGTATTCCTTGGGGTGGTATTGCACTGCCTGCTATGCCATGTGTGAGCCAAGTCTGTAGATTCTGCAATTGATTTTGGGTCTGTATAATGGGAGAGTTGGTGGTGCAGTTGACCCCTGACTTGTTCTGGACTGAATGCCGAGGTCGTTACAGTCAACAAGAACCTCCCCTGGTTTAAGCCGGGATACTAAGAAATTCTACTCCGTTTTGATTGATAGATAAATAGCAAGTTGCACCCGAGTTATGCTGTACCTCACCATCCATTCATTACAGTCATTCCTTCATTCTCCCTCGTTGACCAACCACGGCCACAGGGACGTCATTCATTTATCACCCTCTTTTGATTGGATCTCACTAAATACACCATGAGACACGCCTTCTTTGCCGGCCTTCTGGCCGCCCCAGCTTCCGTGTGCGCCGTCGCCCTCACAGGCTACGAGTACATCGTCGTTGGCTCCGGCGCCGGAGGAGGTCCTCTGGCTGCTCGCCTCGCATTGGCTGGTCACAAGACTCTGCTCATCGAAGCTGGTGACGACTATGCCTCGCTCAACTACACCGTCCCTGCCTACTCTGCCAACGCTTCGGAAGATCCTGAGATCTCGTGGAACTTCTTTGTTCGTCACTATGCTGATGATGAGCGACAAGCGCGTGACTACAAGACTACTTATGATACTCCTGACGGAGAGTATACTGGTCTTAACCCTCCTGAAGGCGCTGAGATGAAGGGTACTCTATACCCCCGCACCCAAGCTCTTGGTGGTTGCACAGCTCACAATGCATTGATCGCTGTTTACCCTCACCAGTCTGACTTTGAGTACATTGCCTCTCTGACCGGTGATGACTCCTGGTCAGCGGATAACATGCGCAAGTACTTTGTCAAGGCCGAGGATAACAACTACCGCCCTGCTGGCGAGGCTGGCCACGGCTACGATGGCTGGCTCAGCACTGAGACTGCTCCCCTCAGCATTCCCCTCAACGACGAGCAGCTCTTCAGCATTCTCGGCGGAGGTGCCGTTGCTCTGACTGAGATGAGTGGCAAGAACATCACCTTGGATGGTCTGCTTGCCGACGATGCCAACGCCGATACTCTGGCTCGTGATCATGAGGCTGGCTTCTACCAGATCCCTCTGTCTACCAAGGATGCCAGCCGCATCGGACCCCGCGAGTTTATCCTCTCTGTCCGTGATGCCAAGTACTCCAACGGTACCAAGATGTATCCTCTCGATGTCCGAACCAACTGCTACGTTACCAAGGTCACCTTCGATGACTCCAAGCCCCCTCGTGCCAATGGTGTTGAGTTCCTTGACGGCAAGCATCTCTACAAGGCTAGTCCTCTTGCTACCGGCGCTGCTGGCACTCCCGGCAACGCCACTGCTTCTCGTGAGGTTGTCGTTTCAGGCGGTGTTTACAACACTCCCCAGATCCTCAAGCTTAGCGGTATCGGACCTGCTGATGAGCTGAAGAAGTTCGACATCCCCGTCATCTCCGATCTTCCCGGTGTCGGTACCAACCTTCAGGACCACTACGAGATCTCCGTCCAGGGAACTCTCGAGAACAACTTCACCTCTTTCGATGGCTGCACCTTCGGGCTCTACACTGATGTGGACCCTTGTGTCGACCGTTGGAAAGCTCCCGTTGATGGCGATCACGGTATCTACTCCTCTTCTGGTCTGGCTGCCTCCATGTTCTACAAGAGCTCCACTGCTGAGAAGGACAACTTTGACATCTTCGCTTTCGGTGGTCCCGTCAACTTCAGAGGATACTTCCCCCAGTACGCTGTCAACGCCACCATCGAGCACAACTGGTTCTCATGGGCTATCCTCAAGGCTCACCCCCGCAACAACGCCGGTGAGGTCCTCCTTAAGTCAGCTGATCCCCTCGACATGCCTGCCATCACCTTCAACTACTTCGACACTGGCAACGGCGACTACTCTGCTGATCTCCAGGCATTGTACGAGGCCGTTGAGCTTACACGAAGCGCACTGGCCAACCAGCCCGTCAACGTCACTGAGGTTCTTCCCGGTGCTGGTGTTACTTCTCAGAAGGACATTGAGACTTATGTCAAGGATGTTGCTTGGGGTCACCACGCTTCTTCGACTTGCCCCATTGGTGCTGATGATGACAAGATGGCGGTTCTGGACTCCAAGTTCCGAGTTCGCGGTGTTGCTGGTCTTCGTGTTGTTGATGCTTCGGTTTACCCTCGCATCCCCGGTACCTTTACAGCTGTGTCGACCTATATGGTTGCTGAGAAGGCTGCTGATGTCATGCTGGCTGAGCTTGAGGAGTAGATGTTTATGAGACAAGTGGTCATAATGTATATAAATGTTGAGCTTATCTTAGACGAAGACTAATACCAAGTAATGTTTGAGGTACAAATCTTTCGCATTGATTGGTCAATTTGCGATGTTTATCCATGACGGATCTGGCTATTTTCTCTGAGTCTTGGTCTACCTAACCAAAGCCGAGGTTCAAAGTATACTTCAGCGGCGTCTTGCCTGTGATGTAAACATGGCTCCCTTGCAAAGTGAGATTACCCCCGTGCCAACTATACTGCTCACCCGCATCAGCTGCAATTGGTCCCTTTCCATTTCCTGGCCCGAAGGTGATCTTGTCATCTTCCATGCTGTACTCTCCTTTCCCTTCAATGAGATTGTATATGGTTGTGTTGTCGCTATCAAGAATCTCCTTCACTCCCTTGAACTTTCCTCCCTCTCTGAAAGTTAACTCAAAAGTCAACTCGACATTATCCTCTCCCGAAACTTCAAAGTCGAGATCATATCCCTTCTTGGTCGGCTTAATCTCAACATCAGTTTTGAGACGACGAACACTGGTTGGACGATTCGTAAAGTCAAGCATGGCATAGAAACGACCATCGACCGACTTGGACAGCGCATATGTCCCGTTGTCGTCACGCTTATCGGCTGGAATAGGTAGGTAGTACGGAACTTCGATCTCACTCCCCAACTTGATGGTACCATCCTTGGAGAGCTCAACGCCATTCGATCGGAAGTGACCCATGCTGAAAAAGCTGGCACTAAGTCGCACGGCTTCAAGAACAGCCTTTCCGTTCCAGGCTCGGAACATGGTCGGATTCGTCGAAAGGCCCGAGCCCATTCGGTTATAGAACTCGGCCTTCTTTCCGTCCGTGGTATACCAGTCCGACCCACCAAATGCCGAGACTGTGAGCTTTCCACGCCTGGCTCGCACGAGACCTGCTGACTTGTAGTGCTTCTTGAAGTCCGAGAATGGTTGCTTTGACTTGGGCAATTCGGCTGCCAAATCAGGGCGTTCGATGAGGTTGCCAAGGAAATCGCCCAATTGAGGTCCAACTCGCTTCTCGATGAGACGAGCCATCGCAGCGAATCGGCCGTTCTTGTCTAACAGAGCAAGCTCGCGAAATTGTGGGTAAAAGTTGCCCATGTTGTCCCCTGGAGGCTGAGACTGGTCCTGTCGACGGCTCTGAATCGTCTCCATCTCGCCGTTGGGCTCTGCGTGCTCAATGGAAAGCTCGAGGTTTTTGCGGACAAAGCTGACCAATCCTGTGTAATTGAGCTCGTGAGCTACTGTCAATAGAGAAGGGTTCGACACAGCCGAGTAGTAGTTAGGGCTACGCTCCGAGTAGATGCCATCAGCATCGATATCAATGCCCTCTGCGAGCCACTCATCGATCCTCTCAATCAAGCTGGGATCCTCAATAATGTTGGAGATGCGTGCCAAGGCGCTGCAAATCTTCCATCTATGATTAGGGGTATGAATTCCGCCCTTTGCAAGTCCAGGCGCAGCCTTTTTGAGAATACCACGCATGGCTTTTGCGAAAGGTTTTGAAGCCTCGTGATCGTCGCGTTCGAGGATGCGTACCATTATACCAAAGTCTTCGATCAAGAAGCCGGTATCAGGCGGGGAGTGTCGATTGCCGACGGTGTAAGTTCCATCGTCATGCTGGACCTCTACCAGTACAGAGAGCATCTCCTCGATATGAGGCAACAGAGATTCATCGTGGTAGTAGGTTGAGTTTGGCCATACAAATGGTGTGACAAGGCGACGGACCTCACGCGTCAATGACCTTGGGGAGCCAGTCAATGAGGCATTTTTGCCATCAATGACGGTTTGAACCTGAGCATCGGCAGACTTTGTGAGAAGCTTTAGACTGGTCCAATCCTGGGATGGGGTAGAAGCGGCAGAGGCGGTGATGGCAAGCAATGCCACGCCTGCGGCTCTGAGGGTACTCGATATACAGGGGAGATGCATTGGAACGCGACAAGACTGGAAATCCGTGCACTGGCTACATGACGAGACTCGGTGCATGAGACCAGCTTAAATAAGTAAACAAACACTGCCAAGCCCGAGGTTCGGTGTCTGATATACCGATTACAGCAACAGTCGGGCTCATGAAGAGCTGCCGAAGCCCACTTCCCCGCGGGGAAAGCTTTCAGTACAGGTTAGATCAGTGGGGGGTGCTGTTGGCTAGCACGATTAAGCTTAACCTTAGTAAATGAAGATGGACATTGGGGGACGGCTCGGACAAGTGTCCGAAATATTGCATTTAGTTGTTGGAATAAACTTGCTCATTATAAATAGCTTCATGGCGGTAATGCAGTATCAAGGAGGTAGGTTATGAAATGATAAAAGCTTCACATCCCGCCAACGGATGAAGGCGTCTACTTCACTCTCCGTCGAGTTCAATGGCTTCTCGACACTCACTAAACTCGCAGTGGTGCAAAAGAGTTAAAATGGGTATGAGATAGTGTAATAGGTCAAATCTGTTCAACAAGCCATCCTCGCGTCTATCATCTAGTGTCATGTAAGCTGTTGATCAACGGAAAAGTCGTGATGAAAATATCTCCATTTTGAATTTACCCGGTCGCGTTAAGCTAACGTCTTTCGGAGACGGCTCGGCCGAGCCGAGCTCCGTCGGCTTTTGATCAACTGGCGTCTCTGTACGGAGTAGATCATTTATAATCATTTAAAGTTATTTAGATTTGACTCAAAGTCAACGAATCTCTTCTAATATTCTGACAGAAACTCTCAGGTTTCAAAAGACCATCCATTCAATTGAGATGCTTCCTACTATGCGTTCACTTAGCCGCACAGCTCGTGGAGTTCCACTACATGGGAAATCATCAACTCCCTCCCTGTTAGTCTTGGACGACTATCTTCGGATCTCAGCGAAACATTTTGAGCACTTGCAGCCTCCAAAATTACAAGTTGAAATCTCTGATACCTACCTGCCTCAGCGAACTGCCGAAGAAAAGAGCAGCTTGGTAGAGAAGCTCTACCCGTACGACATCATCTCCACTGTGCGTGAGCGAACACCATTCCCTGGGGAGCTGCTACGTCAATTACCCAACTTGAAGTTGTTGCTATGTACTGGTACTCAGTTTGAGACCTTTGACTTAGAGGCTGCCAAGAAGCTGGGGATCACAGTTGCTTCAGCGCTGGGTCGAGGGCGCAGTGACGGAGCACAGCATAAGCAGGACATACGGAAAGGAGGAAGCCATCCTGCCACGCACCATACATGGGCTATGATCCTTGCTCTGGCTAGAAACATTGCAGCAGACGATGGGTCTATCAAAACTGGCGGGTGGCAATCAGACATGGCTGTTGGTCTATCAGGAAAGACTCTGGGAGTCGTTGGTCTGGGGAGGCTGGGAGCAGCAGTGGCGAGAATCGGGTCTTTAGCATTTGGCATGAAGATCAAGTGCTGGAGCAGCAGCTTAGACCAAGCCAAGGCTGATGAGATGGCTGTCAAGCTTGGCCTGCCTACTGTGGATGAAGACGGCGACAAGACCTTTCAAGCAGTGAGCAAGGAAGAACTCTTTGCGACAGCTGACGTAGTCACTCTGCACTACGTTTTGAGTGAACGATCCCGCGGTCTTATTAGTGTCAAGGAACTCAAAGCGATGAAGAAGTCAGCATTGCTGGTTAATACATCCCGTGGCGCACTCATTGATGAGACGGCACTGCTGGGTGCAGCGAATGAGGGTTCCATTCGCGGCGTTGCATTGGATGTCTTTGAGTCCGAGCCTCTGCCCGCAGATAGTCCATGGCGGTCTCAGGACTGGGGAAAGGGTAACAAGAGTCGGGTTCTAGTGACCCCTCATATGGGGTATGTCGAGGAGGGCATTATGAATAGCTGGTATGCTGAACAGGCAGAGAATGTTGAGAGATGGTTGGACGGAAAGGATGTTCTTCATCAATTAGCTTAAGGCAACACTTATTGTCCCTTCATCATGTATGTAGCTGAATAGCTAAATATGGCAAAGACAACTCGATGTAAGTGACACATTGCGTGCAGTATATTAAAGAGAATCTAAGCAACTCTCAAATCATATCTAAGGTAAATCATCAACGCCATCGTATGAAAGAAACCTGCTCTAATAATATCAATAAATACATTCTAAATCATCTTCATTCTGATCTGTAATCATCTCATCAACCGCCGACAAGAGCACTGAGTGGACGTCCAAGTTCTTTCACTCCTCAGCTTGCTTACTCGCCTCAGGCTCTTGCCCAACAATTGACTCGAGTTTCTCTCGGAACGAATCATCGTAATAGCTCATAACAGAGGACGTCCGCGCAGTGTCCATCGACGTGCGAGGCGACGGGGCATACGCACTACCGTCCGCTGAGAAGATGGACTCGCGCACCGACGCGGAATACTGGCTGCTCGTGTTGCGCGCTGGGAGTTGGAGGCGCTTGGAGGAAGCGGATGTGACGGAGAGGTTCTTCTTCTCGAACATGGCGAGCTTGTCGGAAACGGAGCCAGCTCGTTTCTGAAGCACGGTCAGGTCGTTGTTTGGTTTCGTGGTGTCTTTCTCTTCAAGCTTGCGCATCCAGGCGAGGCGGTCGCTCAGTGCGCCTGGTCGCTTTGAGTTGACTCTGGCGAGGGGGGTTTGGGATTCTGAGGAGGGTGACTCGGCGGTTTTGGGGGAGGGTCCGAGGCTGGTGGGTCTCTTTAATGCCAATTGAGGGTTTCGTGGGATTTGAATGGCCTTGGATGGTGTAGAGGTAGATGGCGAGTCGATTGGGCTGGTGCTGAGTGGTCTTGGTGGTGGGGGCATAGCTAACCGTGCCTCACGCTCTGCAGTCCATCTTGGTGATTCTTTCACGGATGGAGTAGATGGAGTGGTGATAAGACTTTCATTCGGCACCAGGCGAATAGTGGCGGTGCGTAGTGCATTTGTATCGTTATCTTCGTTAGGAGCCTGGAACATAGTCTCCAGGTCTAGAGGTAATGACTTGCGATGGTTCTTGAGGTTCTTGACCGGCTGGTGAATTAAATGTCTGGCCTCGACTGGCCGACCACGGTCCAAAATACTGGGCGCTGTCGACGCATCCGGACTGTTGAGGGCTTCCAGCGCCGATGCCCGAGCTTGGTGCTGGTCTGCATCGCTGCTGTCGATGAAAGTCAAGGGTCGAGAGGCTTCATTGCGATTAAGTGGCTTCCGCGAAAAGTGATGACTAAGTCTCGCTGACGGCGCGTCGACATTCTGCTGCTTGTCGGCGTCCTTGTCCTTGGGCTGGAGGAGCCAACTACTCGGGAGACGAAGGCTCTCGAGGCCGTTTAACTGAACATCAAGTCGAAAATCGGACGCGTTGTTGGGCTGCGCAGCGTGATCGTGGCCGGACCTGACGTCGGGCTTGGATTTGGCTTTATTGAGGCGGCGCAGCGGGTTCAGGCTGGAGAGCTTATGGGCCAGCGGTCGCCACAGAGGTTTATCGTTGCTGTTGCTGCTGCCGGTCTTGTTGCCTGCCATTGTCTTACGACTCTCTTTTCTCTGGAGATCAAAAGGGTTGCATCAAAGGTACCGATTGCATCACACACTATTCTTGCTGGCTGCTGTAAAAAGCAGTCCTAAGTTTGGCTGCTCTGTGTTTGTTTACAGGTCCATGTTTGGGTTCGGGGCAAAAGGGGCGAGGAATGCGCTGCATTGCTCGCTTGACGCTACCCCCTTCATTGTTTCAAATGACCCAGTGCCTAGTTCGGGCTTAGCCGATATTACTGCATGATTTCGCTATACGGAGTAGGCTTGACTGCATTCAGGATAGTTTTCTCCAGTAAAAGAGGTGGGGTTGACATGGCCGAGGTTGCATCCTAACGGTCTTTACTAACCTATAGTCCAGTAATTGGCAACAGTTAAAGAGATACTCAACGGTAAACGATAGACTATGAAATGGATAGAGAGGTTTTGAGTGACTTTAGACTGGAAAAACTAATCTATTTGCGCAAGTTGGAAGGCTCAAGTAAGAAACTGGAGTTGTTGTCTGTGCTTTGCAATCATCTCGCCAAAACGTAAATGTCATCAAGCTTAATGCAATGCAATTCACGCTTGAAATTCTTCACGGTCACGTTCCCAAGCAACAACGCCATCCTAGATTGGATCTGCCAAGCGCAATTGCGATATTGAGATGCAATTTGATCCCGTGATCTCTCATGTGATCCATTGACGTTTGGGGATCTCAGGAATGGTTTTCACAACCCGTTTCATTCCCGGAATTCACACTAACGCTATTGAATCACCTTGGCAACGTCGCTTGATCAATTTCATGAGTTTGTTCCCGACAATATTTAGCATCGTCATACAAATGACGTTTGACAAGATACTCTCGCAACTCATTATGTCTCACAACGGCTCAGTGCCCCACCTGAGTGTGATGCAAATCTTGTTTCAATGTCAGACTTAAATAAAACAATAAATAAAACAAAAAGGTTTATACAATAAATAAAATACCTTTTTCTTTAAGCTCTTTCTTTATTGAATTTTATTAAGTCTTTAACCTTTATAGTATTAACTCCTATATATTAAGAGGTAGTCTTAAGCTAATTTCGCACTTTGTCCTGTATTGTGTATAGCATGCCTACTACTATTTAAATGTTCCGGCAGCAAAAGACTACAGCCCTTAATATCACCGCAGCAACTCGCCAGTCTTACACCGATGCCAACTTGCTAGATAGCAACATCGAGCTCAATAACCTATCCCCGAGGTACCTTTCTAGAATTGTAATGCCCGTAGCAAACCTCTATGAGATCTCTCCTTGCTTGTATCTTCTCTACAAAGTCACAATCTTCTCCAGCCTGAAAGTGCTAGCTATACTTATATGCAGCCACAATAAACTACCTACCATTTGTCCTCAATTAGAGTACTTTCAGCCTCTGATCCAATCTCTCCATGTAATCCAGTAGATCAAATGACCAGAACATATATGGGAATATCGATATTCTGAATATCGAGCTTTTTGTCCTCCCCATACTTGTTCACCAAAGGATACTTCTCAATCATGGCGACAACGTCTCTCTATGAGTATTGCCCTTAGAATCTTAAACCACAAGATCCCAGAACTCATGATTTGGAATGCCACCTCGACAGATGTTTTCACGATAAGAGTTCCCAATTCCTTCCCGCGGAGTAATAGTCTGCAAGTGCGGAGAGCGTGCCGCAGCGATAAGCCTAGCTCTTAGAGTGGATGCTGTATAATAGATAACTAGCCAAGAATAGAAAGGCTATCATTGTGCTATCTCATAGCGCATTGGAATGTCGACAAGCTTTTCCCGGATTAGATTTAGCTCATACGGTTTAACGATACCCCATACCTGCTATCTATGTATCCGCCATGCCCAACTCTATATCATTACCCGCTAGGCTTAGATCCGACAGAACATAACCGGCTGCCGCCAGCCCATTTCCGCTGCCTTGTTACGGCGTACCGAGGCAGGTGGGTCGAAATATAATCCACACGTGAAGACAGCTGACAAAAATATGATAGCCTCTTTTAGCTGGGTTCTCCACCGCATATTTCTGTCAGCTTCGCAAGCTGTATGGGTTATTTTTCGACCCACCTGCGAGGGTATATTATAGGCGACTCCCACTCTTTACTTGGCGAATTTCAGTTCCCTCTTCCCTCCTTCACTGGAATCCACCAGACAATTGAAATACACCATGGATCCTTCAGATTTCTGTGTTATTTTTGTTCCTGGCGCTTGGCATCCAGCACGATGCTTTAAGGCAGTGGGTGACATCCTTGAGCACGCTGGCTTCAACGTTGACTATGTCGACCTTCCTTCAGTTGGTGCAGAGCAGAGCCTCACCAACTTCGCCCCAGACGTTGCGGCCATTCGACAGGCCATATCCCAAGCTGCCGCCAAATGCCAAAAGGTCATCCTCGTCGCTCACTCCTATGGCGGCATCCCTTCCGCAGAGGCAATTGGTGCCTTTGGGCCTGGAGGCGCTGTTGCACACTTTGTGCTCTGCTGCTCGTTCATCATCCCGAAAGACAAGTCCTTGATTGCTGCTTTCGGCGGCCAAGATCTCCCATGGTGGTCTATCTCAGAGGACAGACTCTCCGTCGAGGCATCTACACCGGAGAAAATCTTCTATAATGACCTGTCGCCTGAACAGGTTGCAGCGATTGTACCCGTTCTGAAGCCGCATAGCTACCAGGTCTTCCATACGCCTCTTACATATGAAGGGTGGAGGCATGTGCCGACAACGTACATTTACTGCTCTTTGGATGCTGCGATCCCTATTCATATCCAGAAGCTGATGGTTGAGGAGACGGCTAAAGGTGTTGATGTTAATACCCAGGAGATCAATGCAGGACATAGTCCTTTTATCAATATGCCTGAGGAAGTTGCATCTTGTATCCAGAAAATTGCAAAATAAGTTTTAAGTTGTTGCTTTTTTGCATTTTCTTTCTTTCTGTAGCTATAGCTATATCTTGTCTTTAAAGTAAGGCTCCAGTAGACTGCCGCCGATTTGCGAGCGTGTTAAGGTCCGTCCAGCACAGGTCGAGGAAGTAGCCAGAGTATTGAAGGCAAGACAGAAGCTTCAGTTGTCCTGTAGCGCCGTATAATTATTCCGGCTTGCGGCCATATACATAGCGCACTACAAAATAACCATGTATCTTGCGGTTGCGAAGGGCCTTTCGTATACCCATCAGGAACACTTGGTACTCATCCTTTGGCCACTGCAGCACATTATTCCACAACAGCAGAGTATATCCTTGAACAACGTGTGAGTATAGAACAGAGATAAAGGATAGACTCGGCATACCTTCAATATCATTCTCCAATGTCAGCTTGACAAATCGGCCGACCTCGGCCAGCTTTGAGTCTTTGGGCCAATCCCCAATTGGAATCTACGATTGCGCACATAATCAGCCTTGCGAGAGCTCATAGATCAACTTCAAACTCACCTTGTAGTCTGTTGTCTTGATGTCCACAAACCCCGCCTCTTCGATTCCCTTTGGTTGCAAGTCATGCACAAAGAACGTTCGACCAATCGCTTTGCCGCCCTCTTCATACAACTTGTTGCACAACTTATAGACCTCTTGTTCTTCAGCTGTGCCATCGTCGCTGCGGAAATGAATGTCGGCTTCGACGGACTCGACCCAACCGCCAGGCGTACAAACACGGTAGGCCTGTTGGTATAAAGCGGTCCAGTCTTGGATAGCTCCGAAGAGATAACGCATGTGGACGAAATCAAAGGTGTTGTCTCTCCAGGTCCATGATTCGGTGGCATCGTCAATTTCAAAACGTACATTTGGGGGGACCCATTTTGGCTGTGTTGGTGAGAGATCGGTTGCTGTCACTTCAGCTTGGGGGAACTGATCTGCGAAGTCTCTGCGAGTTTGTCAGCATCGCGTCTCTTGGTGGAGCTTGTAGCTACTTTACATTGCCCAGATCCCTAGTCGGCTTATTAGCTATGATCACGAACCAACTCTACTGAGACTTACCACTTCCGGTACCAACGTCAAGTGCTTTCTATTCATATGTCAATGCCGACAGTTCTTGACCTCAATACGACTTGCTCACATACCTGGACGTTATCTCCAATGGGTGCCAGATATAACTGACCGTCGAGCAGAACCGTCAAGTAATGATGGCTGGGATTGCAATGAGTAGGAAGCAGGTAGGATTGAGGATATTGAATCTCACCTGATGTCAACAGACTCGAGTTGTTGTTCATCATTCGGAAAGGAATACTCAGTCACGAACTTGTCGCTGTGGAACGTGCGACCCTGAATACTTCTGTAATGAAGGATGCTTGAAGAAACAGAGGCAGTTGAGCTGTCACTAAAAATTGCTATCAATATGGACTGATCATGCCGGGAGTAGTAAATCTTACGCGTCTGTTTCAAGTGTTGAGTCGGCGTCATCTCGAACATCCTTTCTAGCACGTCAGCATCGCAGTTGGTACAGAATATGTCGCAAAACCTCACGTCATCGTTGTCTGCGGCGGGAATAAGTTCGGTCTGTGGAGACGGTGTCGACTTGGGCCCAGACGCCGGGGATGAGGGCCCAGCCGGTGATTTAGTCTTTGGCGACGACATGAAGAACTATCGTAATGCGACGCTGAATCAAGATGATTGCGAGAGATATTTTTGACAGTTTAAGTTGAGTGGACGGGAGAGGGAGAGGGGAACCCTGGCCTCGCCAATGACCAGCTGTCCTGACGTTACATCATGGTGGGCTGAGTAACAGCCATTTTTTATCAGATCATATCACGAGTGATGTCCAAAAGTGAAATGCCTCTATAAAGAAAGAACTGCAATAATATAATGTGCACAACTTACGTCGCGCAGCCACTACGGACAATGAATACAGCTGCATCTTATGCAATGAAAGTGATAAATCCTCGATTGGACTGTATGCATTATCTAAAATGTCTAGGAGAACGCAAAACTAAACATGCGACCATTAAACCAGCAACCTGTAATATCTAAACATTGATTGAAGATTCTTTCTTTATACCGATTTACATCGTCCTTAGTCATCTAGTCCGTCTTTGTCTCCCCGGACTGAAACAAGCTCTTGACCGTTCTATACAATAGTATAGTGCAGCCTACAAGACTGCCAACAACCAAGGGAAGTCCGTACCGAAGCCATGTTGTAGGTTGCCAAAGGCTCACTTGAGGAATGAACGGCCTGTTTTCCAGTTCGAGCGTCTCTGGAGTTTCGTCGGCTCTTGTGCCAGTGAATGACTCGAAAGCCTGAAGCACGATCTGCACAACTTGCTTTGGCTGACTCAGGAATGGCGAATGGCTTGTCTTCAGCTCGGTATAAACCACGCGAGCACCCAGCATCCTCACCATTCCGATCTGAGCTCTCTGGATAAGGATAGGCAGCCCCTGATCTTCAACAGTTCCAATGAACCATACAGGCACATCTAACCACCCGGAGTATGAGTACTCCCTGCCTTCAAATAGTGCTTTGAGGCTTTGCGTGGTGAGCATGGAAGTCGCGTGATCGGCCTCGGTGGGCGGTAGATCGTGGTAGAAGAATTTCTGAGGACGGACTGTGAGATCTGCATAGCCAGTCTTTTTGTTGACGCGAAAGAACGGTGGAGTTATGTTGAGAAAGTGGTCCATGAAGGTGAGCCCAGTGAAGCAAAATCCGGTTGCAATGGGGATAATACCGACAACGTGTCCTGTCTCTGGCGTTCGTTTGCTGGACGTCGGTGTTGGCATTGAACTTTGGCGTGATGCGGATGACCCGGCTGGCCTAGAGAAACCTTTGACAGCACTGTTGCCAACCGTTCCTCCATAAGAATGCGTGATGACAATCACGTCACGGCCATTTTCTGTCTCCTGCCCGATAGCCGAACGGACGGCGTCAACGTCATCTTTGAATGTTGCCATTGGATCTACCATTGTTGTTGGAAGAGTGACGGGAATGCATCTCAAATGATGTTGGTTTTGTAGCTGTTCCATTACTTTGGCGTAACATGATGGCTTATGCCATGCGCCGGGTACAAAGACCAAGCTTGGTTCGCTGGACATTTTGGCGGATTGGCGCCAAGATGAATAGAGGTAAAAGGAAGAACACTGAAGATATAGAGAACAGAGAATCAAGGAAGAGCGCTGGAGAGAATATAAATAGCAAGAGCTAAGTTCGGAGGCAAGTAATATTTATGGGCATGATGGACAGCTCTCGATCGCTTGCCTGATTTGGACTGATTGACGAGCGGAATTGAGGGCCAGCGGAGTTTATCAACCAACCAAGTCAACGGACGAAGCGTCTAGTGTGTACTTCGACTGTCACAAATCTTCTGTCATTCTTACAAGATCTAACACTTCCATAGTATTCCTAATTTGATCCCAATCAAGCTGGTTGATCTGCTCCTAACTTGGATCTGGCAGTGGGAAGCTCAACGCTACGCAAGTACAATAAAAATAATTTGGACCAAGTAGTAGATTGAACAGGACTACCTGAGTATTGATGAAGTTTAGGCGAGAGTAATAGTATATGTCTGTCCTGACGTGGTCTCAACCTCATCAACTCCCTTTCTAGGGCTTAAAATTCCCACGGGTACCCAGATGTTAGCCCGCCTAACTAGGCCCTATGGGTATATCTGGGTAACCTAGTTAAGTAAATCAGGAAAAATTACCTACTATAGGTACCTTAAAACAGAATGGTTTTTTCTGGATATTAAAAAGAAATTAAAATAGAAAATAAAATAGTAATTTATAAATAAAATAATTAT